GGGGGCTGCAAGCAGTGACCCCCACCCATTGTGGGGCCCAGGGACCCCCTCCCCATCCTGGCACTAGTGACCCAGGACCTAAACAAGACCCCCCTCCCCTTAAGCCCTAGGGGGGTCAGGGAAGGACTCCCCCCCCCCCTCCCCCAAGCCCCTCCATTTCCCCCCCGCTCCCGCACACAGAGGCGGCGCGCGCAGCTTTCCTAGGCCAGGTTTATTTAAAAACACCTGCCACCTCCATCACGGCCAAGGGGGCGGCTAAAGGGGTGCTGGGACAAGGCGGGGGAGCCGGGCTACGTCTCGTACAATACCTTAAATAGAATACAAATATAAAACGGAGAGAGTAAAATATTTACAGGAACAATGGCATACACAAAACGCCGCCCCCCCGGGCTGTGAGGACCCACACGAAAACATAAGATCCTGCTTCGAGCAGAGCAAGGAGAGGAAACGTTTCCGAGGGGGGGGGTAAGTTTTCCACAGCACAGTCTTTTCCTTGGGCTTCTCTCCTTCCCAAAGTCACTCCAGGCAGAGCTGGCGGAAAGGTGGAAAAACGTCCTTCGGTGGGATAAGGGTGACAAGACGGTGACCCTGCTGGAGCCAGACGCGCCGTTTCTTCAGGAGGGGCTGCTCTAGGTTGGGTTCAACCTCTTCCTCCAGGAGCTAAGACCTCCTGGCGCGTTATCGCCGCACACGAGTGTTTCCTTCCAGAGAGGAAAAGATTTACAAGGAGCTAAACTCATTTTCCCTCCGCCAGCAGCAAGTGCCTGAGGGCCCCTTCGCGACTCGCAATGGGAAGAGACTCAAGTTCTTCAGAGATTTTATGAAAATAATTAGAAAATAGATCTGCTAGGGAAAAATACTCACTGGTGGCAGGGTACTCAATACACCCCAGTCTCAGCTCAGGGTCACAACTTCACAGGGGCAATAATGTCCTGGCTCCAGCTTTTCCTTCTGCGAGGAGCTCGAGCCTCCATGCTGGGGGGTGCAGGGGTGAATGGATCCGCAGGAGATGCAGAGAGCACGGAAACGAGCCCTGCAGCCCCAGGGTGGTACCTGGGCGCCGGCCGCCTGTTGGTGCAATGCCAACAACCGGCCGCGCGGTTGCACTGACGCCCCGCGGGCACCRCTTCAAACAAAGCTGATGGTTGGTGTTTTAACGTCAATCCCAGCAGCTGTCAGCTCTCAGGGGAGCGATTCTTGGAGCCGAGAGGCACTTAAACCAATTCCTCCTTTCCTGCAGCCTGCGAGAAGCCTGACTTTTCGCCCCGCACTCCTGTTCACATTGGCAAAAAGCACCAAAACGCCCCTGCTTCGATACAGTACAATACACCGGGAAGGGGGTATTCTAGCTGTACGGTATAGCTGCTGCGTTCCACGCTGATGTTGTATTATCCCTGATAACTGAAGAGGAATAAGGCTGGATGGAGTGACTCCAACCACCACCCTTGGCAGCAYGTTTGGTCCAAAATGCTAGAATTATTTTGCTCCCTTCCTCCTTTTCATTAATTTGCCCTAGAAGACTCCAATCAAAATGGAAACATACATAAATAAAAATCAAGAGTTGACATAGTAACTCCAGGCTTTAGTATCAAGTGTCCAAGAAAACGCAAAAAACCTTGAAATACACCCAAAACTGTCTTGCCAAGGGGTGGGCTGCAGGGCAGGGAAAGAAGCTTTTAAGGTTAAGTCTTCAGAGTGTCACCGACTCAAGTAGATGAATTCACAACCTCCACGGCTTGGAGATGAACGTCCTTCTGGTGTGAACTAACCAAGTGCTTTGTCCTCTGAACATCGAAGGCAGCCACCAACAGTAACAGAAGGGATGCGCGGGACTCGAACTCGGAACAGCAGGGAAATTTAGGACAACTGAGTGCAGATAGTGCCAATTCCTACCAGTCCAACTGTGCTTTAAGACTCACAGCAAAGCCTCAGCTAGAAAAAAAGATCATCTCGGGGTATCCAACAAAATATACATTTTTTTTTCTTTTTTTTGGGGGGGGAGAGGGGGGAACAGAAGGATATGCAGTTCAGCTGTCGATCATTTCGGAAAGTTCAAGGAGGAGGTCATCCTCGTCCTTCCCTGGGTCCAGATCAATCTCGGCTTCCAGTTTGCCTCCTGAGATTTCCCAAATGAGCTTCTCAAAGTCATCCTCTACGGATAAAGGTGCTTTCCCGGCCCCTGTGGAGCTTAACCGGCGYGTTTTGACCACGGCTTGCGAAGAAGTGGAGCTCGAGACCTCCGATTGCGGCCCGGAATCAGCCTGGCCCACAGCACTTGGGAGAACAAGAAAGGAAAATCAGTACATGACATTCCTTACCTGGAGATGCATTTTCTGGCAATCAGGTTCTTTAAACCACAGTTAATCCCTTTTACACTTTACACGGGGATTACTATTCAATTAAGCTTTACTTTAGATTCCCATACACTAATGTTAGCAGATAAATCCCCAAATTGAAAATATACCAGTGAAGACAGAACAGCTGGAAATCTGGCAAAGGGTTCAATTTTTGTAGCTGGGCAGACTTTGCATTTTACATTCACCAGTTTTGCCATTAAGAGGACAAGGGCTCAATCTTTGCTAATGCCTGCTCACTATTTTAGTTATTTTTCTGACATGCTCAGCAGACTTTGCTCCCAAATACAAGTCGGTCCTCATCTACCACCTCTCTCTGACCCACCTCCAGCTCCACCTCATCTTCATTCAGCTCCTCAGACAACCCAAGAAGCCACCGTCAACTTGCAGCATTTTCAGAGAAGTATCTAAATAAGATTCCTTGTCTGCTGCTGGATAATTCACTCACAATTTGTCCTAGCAGAGTCCTTTTTTTCCTGATTTTGGCATTAATCATCTCAAAACTCTGTTTTTTTCCCCCCACAGACAAAAGAACGTGCAGTTCAAATGAAAACTAAAGTGACCAAGAAAAAGAACAAGTTTGGGTTGTCACCTGTCTTTGGGTTTTCCTCTTTCAGGTATGGTGGCCCGACCATCCTCTGGCAGGGCTGGAACAACAGCCTGTCAAGAAGCAAAACAATAGTTATTCATGACACACAAATACATGATTTCTTAGTAGATACTTCTTCCACACTGCTACTCCTCTAACATTGCTGAGCTTTAGCAAAAATGCASTACCAGGACTGAGTATTATTCCACGCTCACAAACAACCCCATGTTTAAGAGCACAAAACGAATGGAAACTCCACATAGAAATCATTCAAGTATAATAAGAAAACACCATCATTTATCTAATAAAGAGTAGCAAGGCACAACAATCAACTTTAAACTGTTACTGGACTTAAGATGGACCAAAAGACCTACAGAACACCTCTGTTTTCCACAGTTCATCCAAGAGGGTGAAACAGAAACAGGGATTTACGAGGGACCCACAACAGTGGCAGACAGGGTCCTTACCACGGCTGCTTTTTTAGCTGCTGGCTCCATCGTGTCACCACCGGTGCTGCTCAGTGGCTTCACAGCTGCCACAGCAGAGGGGTGGCTCTCAACTACCTTACGTTTCAGTGTCTGCTTTACAGGAGAGGTGGCTTTCGCTTCCGACGGCTTCCCGTTCGCCTTCGACTTGGCTAGAACAAAAAGGGAAAGAGCTGGGATCATYTCGGCCACAAAAAATCCCCAGATCCTTCCTGTGATCCCTCCTCAGATCCTTATCTGGTCAACAGACTTGCACTGCCATTTTTCACACTCCCAGCAATGCTTTAGAGAGCTTGGAGCCAACACTTACTCTTAGCTTTCCTTTCCAGAGACTGGGATGCCTGTTTCCCTGAGGACACAGCAGCATCTTTTCCTGGGCTATCAGCCCCATCTTCCTGAGATTTCACCAATAACCTCTTTGCAGTCTGACAATTTGGCCCTGACACCCCAGTGGCTTCAGGACTGCTGGATGTTGGGGATTTAGCTGCTTTTTCCACAGTGGATGACACGGCAGCTGCTTCCTTTGGAAGCTTCTCCTCTTGCTGTTGCTTCAGTTGCCGTTTCTCCCTCAAGATCTCTTCAAGGCTCTTCACCTGAACTTTAGAGTTAGCTGCACTCTGAGCACAGGGCTAGAAAAAGAGACAAAAAGAGGAACAATTGGCCAAAAACCTATGGAGGTTTCATTAATATGACTGGCTGTCCCTTTGCAAAGGGCTCCATGTGGAATACAGTACAATAGCATAATTCCARTAACTTTTTGCTATGAAAATATTGTTTCATACACCTGCAATTCCCAGCTTCTTCAATACAGCAAAAGGCTCCAGCTCTAATCTCTTCTATTCTTGTTAAACAACAGCCATGTAAACTCCCAATACAGCACTCACTGATAGTTGCTTACCTCTAACACAAAGTCCTATTGTTTTTCCTATTAAAATGCCTGTCTTCGGACTTAAWAACCCCTTTAAGTCTGACAGACAAGGTCACCAAAAACAAAAACATCCTCTCCCCATTAACCATTAGATTAAATCTTGTGCTAACAGCATTTCTTATTCATTGTCAGGAACAATGAGTGAAAAGTTTGAGGGTCCAATGTTGCCCTAACTATTGGAAGTGATAGGATTTAGGCTTCAATTCAGTCCTATTCCCAAACAGGGAAAGACAGGAGCACACCTGAGCTAGAAATGAGCAGCCAGTTGCAGATCAACAACAAAAAACTTACCAGCTGTTGCATGAATATATACACATACATATTAAAAACATACATATATACACACATACAACTATGTATTCACCCAAGACTCACCTCTGCAGGTGCAGAGGCAGCTTTGGGAGAAGACTTGCTCACTTCCACCACCTTCTTCTCTTCTCTTCTTCCAGGAGCTTGAAAAAACAAACAAAAAACCAATTTCCAAAAGCAGAAACAAACAAACCTGGTTACTTTTCTTTCCCCAGAGTGTTAAATTCTTTCATGTCTAATAATGAGATCAAGGGAAAGGCTACAGCACATGTCATGTACAGCATATTTAATTACCTATTAGCTTTGTGATCCGTAACAATCGCCTTCCTGTCGGCGCGGGTTCGGGTTGGGCTGGTGGAGTGGGAACATTTTCCACACTCTGTTGCATCCGCAGAGCTTTCTCCTGCTTGATTTCTTCCAAGGTTTTAACACGCACCTCTCCTCCTGCCTTGGCTTTACCTGTCGGCTCTTCTAGCTGCATTTTGCCAGGCACAGATGCAGTTTGGACGTTCTGCTTCTTGGCATCACTCTCGGCCTTTGCCTTCCCAGACAGCTCTTGCGCTTTCTGCTTCTGCTCTTTTTGCTTCTGCTCTTTCTGCTTCTGTTCTTTTTGCTTCTGCTCTTTCTGCTTTTGCCTTTTTTCTGCTAGGGCCTCTGAGAAAGTTTTGATGCGAACTGCAGTGGAAGGTCTTGTCCCTGGGCCGGGATCTTCTGTCCTGCAGGGCCCTTCAGTGTGAGGTTTAGCTTGAGGTTCTCCTCGTCGCTGCCCGGCTCTCTCAAGACGGATTTGTTCAAGACTTATCTCATGGCTCTAGTCTGTTGGCTATGCCGTTTTCTGTGTCATCATCATCAAAAAAAAAAAAAAAAAAAAAAAAAAAAAAAAAAAAAAAAAAACATAAGAAAAGGAGGTTGGCAACACTGCATCTCTAAACTTTGTCACTGTCCTAAGGGAAGATAAAGCTCTTGAGGGATCTAATTGCCTCTCTCCCTTAGCATCTCTACGGTTTGCACTTGATTTTGCTCCACTTGGGTTTTACTGTGCTTCAGCTGCTCCTAGTTCAAAGCAGGAACACCAAATCTTGATGAGGGACAAGGAGAAACGCTCATCAAGAACCAGACCTCTCTGACATTAGCCACCAGAAGAGCTTTAACGCTCAAAGGGCATCAGGCATTTTTTAAAAAGTAACTTTGAGGTGTCTGTGTGGAAGTGGTAGAGGTTCAGGGAAAGGAAAGGCAGATTTAGCACCTATTTATTACCTGTCTCTGTACTGGTCTGTTCAGAAGGCAAACCCAGCCTCTCCTTCAGAGACCTGGGGACTTGAACTGCAGGAGAGAACAGACAGAATAAGGCAGGCTGCACAAATCTCAACTTTGTGCTCACTTTTCAAAGCAGGCAGCAGACTGCTTCATGGGATTCAAAGTGACCTCGAGGCCTCAAAGGGCAGGCAAAGAGAACCAGAAGAGAAAAGGACAAATGGAAAGCCTAAGCTGAGGATCTGTGTATCAAAATCGGGTATTTGTTTAATAGTTGTACCTCTCTTTGGTGCCTTTTCAGCATTTTCCAGACTCTCTATCTTCTTTCCCAGCCTTTCAGCGAGGCTGCGCTTCAGTGGAAGGCCACCTTCATCAGCTTCAGGCAGAGAGAACACAGGAAACACTTTAAGAACATTTCTCCAAGGGAAGATTTTACAACAGGCAAGAAGAAACTTTCCCAGGTTGGTTTTCTTGTATTTGTCCTCCCGTTGCTAATGCAATTTGMCATTTCTACAGTCAAAGTGCATCTCTGCGAGGTGTATTTTCTTCTCTCTCACCTCAAAACCCTCCTCAAATCTAGATGAAAGCACCCGAAAAGCTGCTCACATAAAGTTCTTACCCAGGGAGGCTTTCCGTTTTCCCATTCTCTCGCCAAGGTTCAGTCGAATTACAGGCTCTTCCCCTGAAACAGCAAAGTTTGGACTTCAGTGCRCATAAAACAGGAGCCAGCCAAAGTGCTACCTGCAAATCTCCATTTATAGGCTTGTTCTGAAGCCCTCTCCCCCAAATATTACAAGAATTCTGTGTCACAAAAGATTATGGTATTTTGAGAGCCAAAAATATACAAACTAACATTTCACCTGTAAAAATCACTTGGAAAAACACTACTAGCCTGAGTCCTTGTTTCAACTTCCTGCTAAGCTGGCAACTAATAAACSAGAGTGTGCACGAAAGCTACAGTCTAGGCAAGACAGAAGGCTGCACACCATGTAATAAGAAAAATACTATATGCAAACTCTTCTCCCAGCACTGTTCACAAATGCCATTGCTGTCCTCTTTAATGCTTCAGAAATTGGCTTCTGGTATGTATGACACTATCTTCTGTTGTGCTTTCCATCCATCCCTCAGCTGCTTTTCAGCTCTCCCTTCTTTCCATGCTGACATTTGTTTTGCCTTTGCCCTCTTCTCCTCAGCTGCAGCTCATTTAAATACTGATTCTGACACATGCTGCCAATACAATAGCTCGCACACAAGCCCTGCTGGGCTTCAGGAGCAGTAAAGGCAGGGACCCCACGTGCTCAGGAGTCTGTACGATGCTAATATATGATTAACTATGGCTTTACGTCAGGCTGATAAAAACCACTTTTTGATCTCTTATTGCAAGAGGACAAATTTTTATTCCTGTGAACAGAAAAAGGCAGCACCAGCAGGCTAAGATGCCACAATCAAACCTAAACTCTAGCTTAAGAAATGCTACAATTTCCAATTGAGAGCTTCCTTATTACCTTGCTTTGTAGATAGTGTCACAGTTCTGACTACTGTCCGAACATTTTCCTTTTCTGGCACTGGAATAGCCTGAGACTGAAGTGGATGAACAGGAATTCCTGAAGGACCTTCTGATCAGGAGCAAAACAAAAAACATTTAGCAGGGAAGAAAACAAAAACACCAAAGAGCTATCACAAGAACCAAAAGATTTTAAGTATTTAAGTATTTATTGCTGCTCAACACCCTATTTCCATGCCTGGTCATTTCAGYGTGAGCAATCTGCCTCTGATCTGCAATTAAAATTTCAATTTCAAAGTAGGTTTTAAATTAATACAGCCTGAGAGCCCCTGTTAAAGGGGCAAGGAAATTTGTCCCCCAAGCAACTTAGAGGCAAAATCAACCGTGGGTCTCTACCCATTAGCACAAAATAAAAACTCGCTTCTTTTGTAAATAATTACATTCACCAAGGCAGAGCCAGCTACCCAGATATTATTAAAAAAAAAAAAAAGGCAAAGGAGTTAGTAAGAAAGAAAGGGAAGATATCAACTCACCACCTTGTTTTCTCGATCTTTCTCTCAATTTCTTCAATTTTATTTCTTCGAGCGTCTTTATCCCAAAATTCAACTTTTCATCTGAAAACACAATATAATTAATGGGGCAGAGGCTTAAAGGGATATGATGAGAAGCACAGACCCTCACGTTTCTTAGYGTTCAGCAATTTTCCAGAGTACTTACAATCAACCCATGGACCTCATCCCCCCAACACATTTCCAGGCATTAAAACTCCATTCTGCGGCCCCACTTTATTTCACAAAGAGAAATGAARAATTTAACCTTCCTGAGCCAAGGGACAAATAAGGAATCAGGTAGGAATGAGATCATGGAAATAAATGAGCACATGCACCCCTACCATATACTACTATATATTTACAATGTATTGCTTTTAAGTTAATTGTCCAGCTCTCCTTTATCTGCTGTAAGATACTACCCACATAAACATAAAATTTTTCCCCTACAAGAAGCGTTTCCTTGGTTCCCCTACAAGAACAGCAGCTCCAAGAGCATGCCTATACAATATTCCAGTTGTCTCCAAAAAACAGACTTGGAAGACAAGTGGGATTCATCCTAATACAGTTGTTGGAATACCTTGTTTTGTATTTGCATTGGATTTCCTAGTGGAAATCATCCGCAATCCGTTAGGAGTTTCTGCAGCTGGTTGCTGGACAGGTGTTTTAGCTTCATCTCCTTCTTCAGAAAGCTGATCTGCAGAGGAAAAATAAAAATATCCACTTAAAATTAGACAAGAGGATCAGCCTGTCTACATTTATGCAACTTGTACGTTGACATTTCAGTCCATGCTCCATAGTCTTAACTGTAACACAGATGTTTTAGATTAAAATAATGATTATTATTGTAGACTGGACACAATTTTTGAGACAATAGGAGAGGGGATTTTTAAAAATAYACAACAGACCAGCTGAAACAAGATTGCCTCTAAGCTTTCCTCCTGAATCGGGGGGCCAAACATCTACCACCAGTGGTCTAACCAGACTGGCTGCCGCCCAAAATAGTCAGTTTTCAGATACTCCGTGATTTACACATTCATTTACGGCACGAACGCCTTAAGGAACTAAAGCAGACTCACCATCATCATCTTCATCATCGTCTGCAGCATTGATGACCACTGGAGGGTGTGTGGGACTGGGGACGTTTTCGGAGTTCTCCACTTTCATCACTCCCCTCAGCTGCGGAGAGGGATTGGACTGCACAGAAAGCTTGTTCTGTTGCAGAGAGAGCTGAGCTGCTTTCCCGTCATCGTCTGCAGACTCAGCTGGACCTGGCAGTGTAGCTAGAGGAAGAACAGGATCATCTGCAATGGGGCCATTTAAAACTTGGACCCCAACGTTGCACTCACAGAATAAAAACGGCAGGTGGGGAAAGACAATTGCCTATTTGGCAATTGAATTTACACTCTCCTTTTCCCTACTCTGTCGCTGGTTATACCACGAAGAATGGCTTTATTTCACACACAGAACTTCCCAGAACTACTCACTTTTGCTTGGTGGTAAGAAGAGGCCATCAACGTAACGTCCCTTGGTGTGATGAAAAGCACAGTTGGATTTTTGACAGCCCACTGGCTGGTTCTCCCAATAGCAAGGAATCTCGCTGCGCTTTTTCTGAGGACAGAAAGAAGCAAAACCTCAACATAATACAAACTTTTCACCCTTAAATATATCTAAAATGTTATTGTCCCTACCACCTGGTTTCCTTCCACCTCACTTGTGGTGGTGCAGGCCCAGCTTCACTTTAAAGCAAATATAGGTACCCTTTACTTAAAGCAGTGAAAAATACTTTACTGATTTATTTTGGAAGTTCATTGGTAGGCAGACACTCACATCTATTTCCATATGTCTGAACCTGCAGATATTCCTGAAACACCGACCCTCCTGCCACAGCGTGCAGACYGTTTCATTCCCCAGAGCAGCTTCACAGTGGCGGAAGGGACAACTGTCTCCCTGCAACCAAAAGGAAAGGCACAATGAAAACTGCACAGTCTGAAATAACGCTCATTAGATCTGGATTAAAATACCAAAACAAAAAAACCCACATTACTAAAAAACATTCATTACAAAAATCAAGCAGCCAGTCATACCTTATTACACGTGGAATAGAAATAGAAATAGCAATCGTCTCCTTGGTTGGACATGCTGAAGAAATTCCTGAGGAAAGCTCGGCTATAGGAAGCGTTGTCTCTCCACAGGGACTTCCTTCACTYGTGACAAGAGCTGGTTTCACTCTTTCTTGGGCTGAAAGTCTTCTACAGGCTTGAGCAGTGATATCTTCTTTTAACAGTAACCCTGAAAAAAACAGGGACAATCGGAATAAAAAATCCAAGTATAAAATAAGGAGCATTTTCCAGCTTTTGTCGGCTAATTGAATTAGTCTCGAGAGGAAGGTAATGTCTCGAAATAGGCTGGTTTCAAAAATATCCCAGTATTAAAATAAATTTCTGTAAAATTGCATGAATTTGTCATGAGGTCTTCTACATCCTTAGCAATATTTCTATGCCATAGAGCATAGAAAAGCACATAATGTTGCATGTAGCTCTAATCACAGCACTTGAGTTGCAACAAGTGACCCTACAGTAGTTACCAGTCAGTAATTACCCATGGGTATTAAATGCTTTCAACAAAATGCAATTTGACATTTGAAATATTATTTTCCAACTGCCCTAGATCTTCACGTTCACGTACCTGGACAATCTCAGCACGGGAGCTGATCTTCAAAGACTTCCAGTTAACTTCTCCTGTAGGCCGAACCAACACTGAATCCGTGAATTAATAATAAAGGGGTAGAAAGAATTTTCCTCCTCACATTGCCAAGGGAACCTCTCATCCACAATTCAAACTTAGGAGGTGCTTTTAAACATCTTACAACTAATGGAGGAAGCAAGTCCATTGGAATACTCTGAGAGACTGGAGACAGCCAGGGTTAGTTAGCTCTTCAAAAAAATAATTAAAAAAAAAAAAAATAAAAAAAAATAAAAAAAGGACCCAGTTCATTTAAAGATGAACTTGTGACTCAAAGTGGCTGCAAAAATGAAGATCCATCTTCCACAGCCGGACAATTTATATACACATATATTTTTGTTTTAATTTAAAAATTCAGTAAGTTCCAATTTCTGGTCTTCAAGATTTCTTCACCTATTAAGAAAACACAAAAACCTTCCCCCATCTTTATTACCTGCACAGCAAAAAACATACTTGTGTGTATAAATACAACAAATATGTATATACATATACACATATGTSCTTATACACACACCAACAGCGAGTGATAATAAAATTGGCAAGAGTGGTAACAAAAAAACTCACACATTTTGGCTATTGCCCAAAGAGGGCATAAAAAGTGTCTCATTTTGAGGGAGCTGACAAAAAATGGAAGCGCTGCTTGATATTTTGATGAAGATCTGAGGCTTTGGGAGTGATTTGGGGGCCGGCACACAAATAGGCATACTTAATGTACATGCATACAGTAAAAACATATCTATACACACAAGCTTGCACAGTGGATGTTGCATGATATCCATAGAATCAAGAGCACCACCGGGAGCCCGGATCAGGCACRTAGGGTTGCAATCAATCCAGAGCAGGGAGACAGCGGATCAAGGATACGACAAGCTTGGAGAGGCAGGGAAATGCTCACTTTGGACGTGGCATGGCTGCATGATACCAACATCTTGGAATTCCTCGATTATGTTTCCAATAGTTGCGTTTTTGGATTTTTTTTTGAGTATTCATACAGAATTTTGCATGAGAACAAATAMTACGGTTGCCACCACATGCTGTTCCCTAATGCAGATATCCACTATTATCCATTGCTGTAATATCAAGGGTTGAAAAGGATGGTTTTGGTCCAATTCTTAACAGCAAATGAAATTTTGGATGCCACAGAAGCTGAAATTGATTCCATTTAGCCACAAACAGCTTTTTTTTTTTTTTTTTTTTTGGGGGGGGATTTGAAATCAGACATTTTGCTTCTTTTAAAGACAATAAATGCTTTCAAACCTGCAACCAGACCAGATTAAAATAAATAAAGTGATTCCGATCCCTATCACCGAAATGCTCTACATTTCTGGGCTAAATAATTTTGTACTCTTTTGGACAAAACTGAACAAACTTCATTTCTTATAAGTTAATAAGAAAAGCTTGGACCTTTTACTCACACAAACACTAGTGAATTTCCCAGGATATTTTTTTTTGGCAGGGAATTTTCCCAAATCTAAAATAAAGAGAGGAAAAGTTGGTTTCTTGGATTAGTTATTGCTTTTGACTGCTCGACAAGGGGAATTCAGTGCAAGGTTCCTCCCTATCTCCAGGACCAGGGTGATCCTCAAACCCAAACTTGGTGTCATACAAATTCCTAGGCAGCTTCTCAAAATTATGGTGCTCTTTTGCATGGAAGCCTGACAAGAAACATTTTGCCCAAGGTGTCACCAATATCACTGTTAATTAAACACAATTTCGAGCATGATTTTTTTCCCCGTTTTGCACCAGCCGACGCTTAAACAGATGGTAATTAAGGGCCACTGCTTTGATGAGGAGAGGTATTGAAATACAAATCAGTAGGAATTCATGGCCTGGAAAGTGGAGTTTCTTTTCCTTAAGGAGAGGGAGAGCCAACTGTATAATGTACAGTTACTATATCCATCATGATGAGGAAAAAAAGTCTCTRCAAATTCAGGTGTTTAGACAGTCCAAGCAGGCCAAGCTGCTTAAACTGAACATATTTTTTGCTTGCTGCATTCCATATTCCTAAATACACTCTGAATTCTGCTCAGAATTTGAATCTGAGCAGATCTCGTTTAAGAAATGGGAAGAAAACTATAACAAATCAAAAACTCACTGCTATAAATTCCCAAAAAAGTCCTTTCTTAAATATTAAAAAAAAAAAAAATCTAAAAACTTATTTTTTCCTTTTAACTGACGTCAGTCAACTTGGCAATCTGAGTACTGAACAAAAATCTACTTAACTAGCCCTGGAAAGCCCAAAGAAAAGTGAGTAACTCTGGTGCACTCAGCAAGTCTCCCAGAAGCCGGGGAGAATTTTAATGCCCTTTCTCTTTTTCACCTCCTTCCAGAAACACGGCAAAGTTTTCCTATTAGGATTGAACTGCTCTTACCATTATGAACTCATTTTAAGTTTCCAGCTTGGGGACGAGCATTTGTTCTGTTCTGAACTTACAGAGGAGGAAAAAGGGACATAATTCTTTCTTTTTTTTTTTTGCACTGCAACAAATGCACGAAGAGAAGATTTTTCCGTCCTTACAGCGCTGTGCTTATTAGCTACACATTTATCTACAGGAATTTTTTTGGCCATAAAGCACAAACTCTTTCACTTTTGACAGCTCCTGGCCTATTTTTGCGTGCTTTTAATTCTTTACAAAGCAGCAAACCCTCTCAACAGCCCTGTTCATAAGGGCACTGCAGATGTCAGAAAACAAGAAGGAAGAGCACTAAGAGCTGCATGATCAAACCTCATTTTTCATTCTGTCAGGGCTGCTTCAGCTCCAAAATGGTCACTGCTGATGCACTCGTTAGAGCCCCTAGAGCTGGAAGAGCAACGTGCACCAGATGCTAAAAAAGCCTGCAAGAAATAGTGCATATGATGCCTATATAAAAGCTCACTGTATAAATGCTACACATGCTCAGCACTGAAGTGGTCTGAAGCACAGACCRATCTCTTGCTAAAATCTCCTCCCTGCTGCAAGGGCTCTCATCCTTTGTGGCAAAGTCCAAAGCTCAGGGCTGTTGCAATCAATACTCCTTACATTTGCTTTAATGAACTGCTGCAGCTCAAGAGTATCTAAATGCAAGTCTTGGTGCACGTTCAGGACCTGGGGAGGGACAGGGGACAACATGTCACTCAGGACCCACGAAGAGCAAGGCAGCCTGTGAGGAGAGCAGCTTGAAGGAACAGGTCAACATTTTGGCCTTCTTCACCAGCAACTGGACAGAGAACTGGTTGCAGGACCAAAATCACTCCCCAGCTCAAGAAGCACCTTTGATTTAAGGCTTTCCACGCGCCCTGCAAAGTCAGGAGGAGGCAATTTGAGGAGAGCAGCATCTCAGCAAGACCTATAAACAAGTGGCTTAAGGATGTCATGCGTTGGAGACCTGTGGAATGAGTTGAGAAGAGCCCCATCCACCCGCCCAGGAGAAGGCTGCACACACAAGTTCTGCTCCACCTTCTGCTGCTCTCAAGCTGCTTTAACACATGAAAGGAAGAGCCACTGAGTGGCTATTAACTGCTCCGAGAGATTCCCTGGAAGAAGGTTCCCGTCCTGCGATGCCTGAAGAATTTGATGGGTTTTTAGCAGGAAAAGCAAAGTGACAGCAAGTCCCTTAAGAYACTGCTAGGATGTCCTCAGCTCTCTTGTGCTCTCAGGAAGCCTCAAACCACTAAAGCTRAAAGAAATGTAAAACATGGTACTGGCTACAGTGCCAGGGGCTTCACAGTTGTCAAAAGCTACAAAGCCAGGGTGAGGGAATTAGGGAAAAGCCACACCAGTTTGGGAACTGGGTTCTTCTGGGATGCTTGCTGCTGTAGATTTTTTAAACAAAGCCTAAAAGCTGCTTGCTTTCTAAAAGGGAACTTCTGCAGCACCGTGAGGAACTCAGTGYATCAAAAAAGACATCAAACAGATCCCATCGTGGTCACACAGGCTGTGGTGGGCTCACAGGTCCACACATCAGTTGCTAATTGTGTTTTTCTGCACTCCAATCTCTCCAACACACAAGCACATTTGAGGAAATGGACGTTCTCTATGACAACACAGTGCCACAGTCTGTAGGAAATTCCAAACAGCCACATTCCAACGGGCAAAAACGGATGACTTGGAGATGTCCCTGAAGAGGTGATGTCCTCTGGTGACCACCCAGCTTGTYGTGGCTTTCTTCGTCTTCTTCTTCTTTCTTCTCCTTTAGCGCATGCTCGCGATGACCAGGCAAACCAAGGATCAACATGGAAGAAATCCCACAAAATGGAAATTCCGACTCTTCCTCTAGGCAAYGGCACCTGCTTTAACACAATGCTCCCCATAACGGGGCTCACTCCATCATGCTCAGCAGCAACGGGCACGACCGGGGCAGCTGCAGCAGTACCCACAGGCCCAAACCCATAGCCAATTTTTTAGATAACATCTTTTTGCTGTTGTTTTAAGCGTGGTGGCTTTCCCTTATTCCCTAACCCCTTCCTCCCTATATTATTAGGTGGTTCTCTAATTTTCCCTCTGTCCATCACGATTTTCCTCTCCTTGCTGTCACAACAGGCTCTGGAAACACACTCCAAGCAGAGCGCCCTGGTGAAGCTGCTGCRGATGCTCCCGGGGGAAAGCAGCATGAAGAAACACACACTCATCCTCTCCTGTATCCGAAATCAATGCCAGGCCCTGGCAGCAACTTACTTACTGTGGGAGTAATGCCTATTCGTCTTCCTCACTGAAATGTTTGATTAAATCTCAAAAAAAGAGTCAATTTTCCCCTGGAAGCAGCGACTTGGAAGGCTGCCATTTTAGATGAGAAGGAACAGCAAGAGGAAGTTTTCTCTAGGCTAAACACTCTTCCTGAACACTATGGCCATCCATATATATATATATATATATATGAAAAAAGCACCCATTGAACTCTTAGGAAACAAAAAACATCGCTCCTTTTTTCCTCCTCTTTTTGAGCAAACTGAAGGAGAAATTACCACAACCGGGTGCACCCAGAGTTAGTCAGCGGCGGGAGGCGGCTCCGCRGGGCAACGCAGGGCTACAAAGGGAAGGCAGGGGCTTTTCCCTGGGGATTTCCTATCCTCCTAAGGCCCCTGCGCCGGGATCCGAAGGTCGCTCCAACGGCCGCGCCTGGGGCCGCCCCGAGGGGCCCCGAGCCCGGGGAGGCCGCAGGCGAGGCCGGGGGGCAGCGGGGAGGCCCCGGGGGCTCCGTGTGGGGCCGCTCCCCGCTCGCGGGGGGCCCGGGGCGCCGCTCCCTCCCCGGCGGAGCCCGAGCCGCCTCGGGGGAAACGGCGAGGAGAGGAGGCCGCGGCCTGGGCGCTGCGGCCTGCTCCCCCTGAGGGGAGCGGGAGGGCCCCGGGGCCTGGCGGGGGTGACGGGGGGACCCCGGGCCCTTCCCCCGCCCGCGGCGGTCTACGAACGGCTCTAGTTACCGGCGAGCAGCACTTTACCGAACCCCTGCGGAACTGCCGCCGCCGCCTGGTCCCCGCGCTCCGCCGGGGCCACCGCTCGGGCCGTCGCCTGCAGCCACTGCCAGCCTCAAAGATGGCGCCCTCAACATACGGGCACCACCGCGCGCCCGCTGCCAAGATGGCGACCAACGCCGCGCTCGGCTTCGCCGCGCCCGCTTCCGCCCGTTCGACGCGCTAGGGGGCGGAGCTCCGCGTCCCCGCTCACCATGGCAGCGAGGAATGCGCGTGCGGGCGGGCGCCGCCCTACGGCACAATAGMCGCGGCGCGGGCGGGCGCGCCCGGCAAAGCGGCGCGGGCGGCTCCTTCCTCCTTCCTCCTCCTCCTCTTCCTCCTGCGGCTGCCGAGGGTGCCCCGAGTTACTCTGACACTGAACAAAACCGTTCACTAAACGAGGAAACTGCAGGRAAAAAAAAAAAAAGCCTTCCCACTTGCACAGCCACGGCACGGCCCTTGGGATTTTTGGGTTTAAATCTCCGCGTTTTGGGCTGACACAAGCAGCCCGAGGCCGCCCATGGCTTTCGCTTGGCCCTGGGGCTWCGTGGGGCTTGTTGGCCCTTGCAGCAGTGACTGGGCCCTGCGGAGGACACAAGAGGTGGCCTTGGCCCCGGAGCCACCCGCCGGCTCGGCCGTGGAATGGGAGCGTTCCCTTGGGAATGACGCCCCATTCCCAAGGCTGGCGACACCTTGGGGCCACCYCCTACAAAATGGAGGCGGCTCCGGCAACCCGCGGCCTTAGGAAAGCTCCTTGACGTGGGGGGAAAAAACCACGGAGCCGCGGCCCAGCTCCGGCCTCGGGATCCCCCACCAGGGCCACCACAGCCCCCGCCACCTCCCAGGCCTCATTCCCGGCGCCCGGAGGCGGCTCCGTCGATCCCCCACGCACTCGCGCACCCGTTGTGCTCAAACCAAAGCTTTTATTGATCGCAACCCTTCGGCCCCACTCCTTTCAGTCATATTTGCTTCTTTTAAATATGTACCCCTTTCTCCCCCGAAAACACAACCGCTCGCCCCTTGCTCAGAGCCCGGACAAGTCATTCCAGTTGCTTTTTTTTTTTGTTCTCCCAAGAACCATATAAATTACATGCAGAAACATTGTACAGAGAGGTTAATATCAAAACGCAATACAGATCAGGTGCACGGTAAGCTGGACTCTAGGATATGGCAAACACATCAGGGTACATATTGCTTTGAAACCACCATTTTTTTGTTATTTTTTTTGTTTGTTTTAAATGGCATGCATACCACGTTATATTCAGCCTGTTATTTCGTAGCTTTCTGTCTCTTATACAAAAATACCGGTGCTTTAGTAGACAAGTTACCAGGGGGAAAAATAAAATAAAATAACCATATCTGCGTGCTGTTTTTCATAGGAAGTTTTGTTATCAGAGCGCTGCATAAATATATATACACACACAAATGTCAGATTAATACTGTATATATATATTTATTTAGGGGGAGGAAATAAACTAAAGGCAGTTTTAGCCGTGGGCTTTGCTGAAGGAAAACTGAACTCCAGTTGTTTGGGTGCTTTCRGAGCAGGAGGAAAACAGGGATGGCAGCGGGTTGGGGCCGGCGGTGGCTGGAAAATGCTGGAGAGCCACAGCCACGCATCCCAAATCCCTATGGATGGGACGGAAAGGGGAGCGCTGTGGCCAAAGGGGTTGATCCATGGGCAGGAGCTGGATGCAACAGGGAGCAGCGAGGTCCCAGCATCCCTTTTCCAAGGAAATCCAGGGAGACGGCGGCTTCCAGGCCGCTCGGAGGCTGCGGTGCCTCCGAGGAGGATGCTGGGGATGGCCCCACATTCCCATTTTCCCGAAGGTTCCAGGGCCAGGCCCTGTGGACAGGGCTGCTCCGCTGCGGAAAGCCAAAGGCTAAAGGTGGTTTAGCTTTTTTCCTTCTTGAGCTGTTCTTTTCCCTTTTTTTTTTCTCCCCCTGTCACAGCTTATTGCACAAAACCTTTGAAAAGTCAGTCTAACTTCTGTGCAAGTAATAATGATAATAATAATAATAATAATAATAATAAAATCACTCATTGCAGAATGCTAGGGCATCCAAAGGCCTGTTCAGCCCTGCACGCACCAAGCGGGGCGATGTCTTTGGTACCAATCCGCCCATTTTTTGACCACAAAAAAACACCACCGCCACCGGAGGATGAGCAAGAACCGGATGCAAACGTATGTTCAGAGTGTTTTAATAACAAAGCATTCCAAGGCAAGTTAAACACGTAGCACAGGGCAGTCCTTCGGTTCCTGCCTGGCGCGGCGCTCGGCCCCGGGCGCGCTTGGAGCAGTTCAAATAAAGCAAAAAAATCTCCCTTTTTCCTTCCAGGCATCGCGCAGAGAAGTCCCCAGAGGTTCACGCCGCCGGCCAGGCCTTTCAGTGCCGAGCACCCCTGTCCCCCACCGCTCGTGGAAATGTCCTCAATAACTTAACCCCAGAGTCAGCTGCTGCCAGGATATCCCGAAAAAACAGAAAAAAAAACCCACTTTACATAGGATGTATGCACAAGAAACGCTTATACGTTAAGCAACCGGCCATACCAACATAATTTATATATATAAAAAAAAMCACATTTGTGTCATCCAACTAATAACTAGTATTATAAAGATGGCTGCTCAGAGAAAAGGAAGCTGACTGGCATCCGATCGCTGATACACTGAATTACCTGTCGCTTGGAACGGCCGGCACGCGGCTCAAGGCTTATTTTTTCCTTTAAACAAAATACATATGGCTGACGTAAAAATATCAGTTTCTGATCTAAAGAAAACTATAGTTTTTTTTTTTTTTGCATAATATTTATATATAATTATTTCTCCCCCTCCTAATACGGAAAACTAGAACAACAAAAATATATCAACTAAAGGACGAGCAGACCCTTGTGGCAACCTGCCAGTCACAGATTTCTGGGAGTGACTTTTAAGAGCCTCCAAAACTTAACTTCGTGTTGGCTTTTCGTTGTTTTAAGTCTTTTTTTTTTGTCCTAAAACAGGTCTGAGGTAATAAAAAAATATCAAAAAAACAGAAATCAGTGTCCCCCCCACAAAGTATTCAATAAATATCCATGTAAGCTTGTAAGAACACCATATTTCCATCCCTTTTTTTTTTCTCTTTTTTTTTTTTGCAAGTATTTAAAATAGAAAAAAAGTGATCGTTTAAGCAATGTCACCTCTAGAACAGAACCACCAGAACCGCCTCCCTTTTACTTCCCCTCTCAACTGGTGCCCGGTTTATAGAAAACCGCCRGTCCCAACCTGACCCGTCCCAAATCCCAGCTCTGCCCCGGGCGCTTTCCGAGCTCGTGCGAGGAACAGAAGGGGAGGACAGCGACGGGCACCGCCGCCCCCGCGAGACGGGCGACTTCTTCTTGCTGTGTTGGCAGTGACGGGAGCCCGGCAGCACCGAGGCAGGAGCCGGAGCCGGGAGGGCAGCGGAGGGAGCTCGTCCTTGCTCCCGGCCCCGAGGAAGGGACAGGGCGGTGCTGGCCCCGGGAAGGATCCCGRGGCGCCGGGGTTTTGGTTGCCGTCGTTTAAGGAACACTTGTTTCTTGGCAAGAGGACGGGGCTCGCGCGTGGCAGGCGGTGCTGCAGGCAGTGCTCGGAGAAGGCACGGGAGATTCCGCTGTGCGTTTGTAAGGAAAAACCAAAGGAAAGAGAGACCCCAGGCACCTCGCGGTCACTAAAGCCCCCCCGCTCCCAGGAACAGAGCCGGGCGACTTTATACATCCAATTACACCCTGCTTCCAAGCAAAGCCARCGGGACCAAGGAGAGGAAGCAGCGGAGCTTTTTGCAGCCTCTCCCACCATTCCCAACRAGCGGGAAGGAACCTGGAGGAGCCCACGGTGAAGACACTGAGCCTAAGCACAGCGAGCTCCTGGGCAGGGCCGTTCCTGGCTTTGCAAGAGGCTCGGGTCGGAGCAAACGTGCCCAGGGCCTCCGCTCCCAAGTTCTCCTCTGCAGAGATGGTTGGGAGAGACCGCGGTGAGGCAGGAAGCAGGGGAAGGGATGAAGAGCCGGCCTTGCACAGAGGTGCAGCACCTTCCCTGGGGGACCTCGCCACCCGAGCGGCCACCGCCAGCTGCAGGTGCCCACGGGCCCGGGCAGCTCCATCCCTTCCACCAGCTCAAGAGCTCAGCCCTTCCAGGACCTAGGGCTGGACCCCGGGCGCAGCTGCAGCGGCCCCGGGGSCTCCTCAGGTCCTAAGCCCAGCTCATCCTCCAGCGCTCAAGAGATATTTAAGCCTAAATGCACAAGCCAGAACATGCAAGCGCCAAAAGTCCCTCTGCTCCTCATGGCGGGAGCTGTTAAGAGTTTTGCACGGCTCTTGCCGAGACTTTCCCAGCTGTTCAGGAGCAGGAGAGGGGTATTTACGATGCCTCGGGAAGCAGCCCCGTGTCTCGCCATCCTGGGGATTTTCTTCACCCTGCCAGTTCGTTCCCACCTTGTGCCGGGAAAAGAAAACCCCGACATCTTCCAAATCCAGCAAGGTGACAGCAAAGCGCCCTTCATCCCGTGTCTAACGGCTACTGCTTTGGAAACCGAGACACGTGCGGTGCTTGCCCCCACCAAGGAGCAACTGCAAAAGGCTCCCCAAAGGTACCATATTTTTAAAGGTGGAAGACTGGTGAACATCCCTGTATCCATCAACCCGCGGGGAAACGTCTCCCCCGGCTGCTTCCTTCCCGCTCCACGGTGCTAACCCCCCCCATTTCCGAGATACCGGGGGCCAATTTCACAAGCRAAAGGAACAAACCCCAATATTAGGAGAAAAATAAATGGAAAAAAACCCCAACAACTTAAAAACCACAAGTGGAAAAAATAAAAGTCACAAGCGCAGCCCCCAGCTGCAGGGCAGGGAGCGTGCGTGTAAGACTACGACGATCTGAACTTCCTTGGAACATGCATTTCTCAAGTGACCCTCCCTCTCCCTTGCAGACTTGTGGAGCCCCGTTCCCGGAGAGGCAGTAACTTGGCTTGGGCGAGTACCACGGAAAATTCGGGATGGGGATGCACGGGGTTGGGCTCGGCCACCTCCCGACACCCCAGCAATGTGGTACTCCGGCTTCCATTGCGAAATAATTGGTTTTTTTTCTTAAAAAAAAACGGAAAAATAAAGATATACGGAGGAGCAGTTTGACACGAAGTGACCGCAGTGTGTGATCAGTTACTGGTGCCGATATCACACAGGCGAGGGGCGGAGGAGGAGGAGGAGGAAGGGGGGATTTGAAGTTCTAAGGTCAAACCGATGTCTCCAAGCTGTGTAAGGGGCCTTCGGGCTCCGGGACGGTGACCTCGACTTGATCGCTGTCCACGGCGTTGTTGTTCGTGTTGAGGGTCGTGGATCCATCCGGGCTCCCCCTGCCTTGCTTTTGGAGGCCATCAGTCTCGGGGTCGTCTTCGGCGCCGTCAAGGAATGGTGTTCGAGGCTCGTCTTCCTCCAGGATGAACTCTGGGTGAGTCATGAAGTTATGAATGGAGCTTCTGGATTCGGGTTTCTCGAGGCCTTCGTACAGGGAGCTACGGAACGCATTCACCACCTTGATCTGCCGGGCGGCCACGGGGCAGCGATGGGGAACAAACAGAAGAGACGTTAGTAGAGGCTACAGGAAGGCCACAGCTCCCAGGAGAAATAAAACACAATTAAAACACCAAAAAGACACACACAAAAAAAAAAAAAAAAGGGACAAAAATCACCACCACTGAACACAAGGTCAAAATGAGAGATCTATGGTGAAATAGGAGGGCCAACACGGGTCAGAGTCAGGCACTAGGTGTGTGATGGGGAATCAACCAACTACGGGGCGACTTCAGAAGCTGCAAGAAAAGACAAAAAAAAAAAAAGAACAAACCAACTCAAACAGGTCATTTTGAATGAAGGGAAGCCAAAAGGCATTAGTTGTCATTATGTGTGCATCTGTGTGTGTAAACAAGGACAAAAAAAGTGGAACTACAACTCTAAAAGGGTGGGTTAGACAWACACAGTGGGTTCACTTCCAGGCAAAAAACCTCTACTGTGGGAGTGATGCATTTGCTCATTCTACTTCATTTTTAGACCTACAGAAAGCAAGGGGCTCACAGGCTTGGTCAGGCCCRCGCGAAGCAGAGGGTCTGAGCGGCTGCCAGGAGAACAGGACCCRGCTGAACATGCAAGAAGGAAGCCAGATCCGCGCGAGTTTTCCCGCTTACAGCCCGGAGCTGGCGCTCCGGAGCCCTCCCTGCATGCTGGAGGGTACCTAAAGCTTCCCAAAGGCAGCTAATTCCATTGGATGCTTTGCAGGAAAAACCAGCCCAAACCTTGGAAGAGCCAAGGTTGGAAGTGCCAAACGCAAACCCCCGGCTCTCAAAAACCAGGCTCAAGGTGCTACAAGCAGGAGAGCCCCAGCCTGGCTTGGAGAGCTTAAAGTTCTGCATTGCCACCTCTGGTGCTCCGGAAGGGAGAGGGCTGGGAACAAGGCAGAACGGCAGCTAGCACTGGATTCACTGCTCTCCCTGCCGCTCCTCTGGAAATCCAGCCTGGAATTCTGCGGTCAGAGGGGTGACAAGCATCAGGAGCAGCAAAGGAAGGGGCTGGCGAGGAGGTGACGCTGCAAGGGGGCTCTCCTCTTGGAGGTTACGTGCAGGACRACCTACGCGTGCACCTTGGGTGCAGGAGGGCACCCAGGCTCTCCTCCACGCCCGGGGCTACAAGCGCAGGACGGCAAAAGGCGGCAACTGCAAGAGGGCTTGGAAACACAGGGGCTTCCTATGGGGAGCCCAAACCTCCCAAGGCAGAGAGGATCTGGCAAAAATCACCCCTTGGCTCTGCCTTTTCCTGCAAATCCTTAAGGCCCTCGGATTTTCCCATCACCTGGAAGCTAGATTCTCCCTTCCCTTTCCAAGGTGGGGGCAAAACCATTGGCAGAAGTCACCAGCAAGGGCCAAGCATCTTGCAGAAGGTCTCCCACGCCTGGCAGGTTCTTCGTTTTGTCAACCAGAGGTTGCCTGGGGCCAGGAGCGCTTCTGAGCTGCTCCTTTCTGAAGGAACTGCCCTTGAACCACAGCGAGACTTCACTGCTCAGCCCTGGCAAGCGAAGCCTCCCCATTGCTCAGCCTGCACCCAAGTGAGCAGAGACCACGTGGGGCTGCCGGAGGGAGAACGGTGTTTGCATCACCTGCAAGCTGATGAGGCAAATAAAAGACACACATATATGTATTTTACCAATCCTTCGGGAAGGGGCTGCAGAGCTGCACCTGAATGGAGAGGACAACCCCCTTCCAAGCGTGGGGATGAGCCAGGTTGAACAGCCCACCTTGCTCTGCTGGTATCATGGACAGGAGTGAAGCCAAACCCACCAGAGCCCACGAGAACCTCCTAGATCTTTGGTCTCAGCACAAGAAAACACGCACAAAACCCAGAACTGAGGCATCACACAGAAGAGAGCCTTGTGTCCCAAGGGACATCGTGGCCTGGTGTCCCAAATCTTGGAGATTTTACCTGCAGGATATTCCAGGGCTCCCCTCTCACGAGGGAGCCTCAGTCCGTTCTCCACCCGTCTCAAGGATGGTACCACAGCACCGTGGGATCCCACGGGCTCCGCACATCCCAGCTAGAAACAATCCGGTTCTTGCACACGCAGACGGACACAGGGACAGGCGCACACGGACACCAGCCGGACAACACAGGCCCAAGGAGATGAGGGGCAGCCAGGTACCCCCGTGACTCCGGAGCACCGCGTGGCCTGTGAACACGGAAGSATTATGTGGCTGGAAACGGGAATTCCGAGCTGTTTTGCTGCACTAATGACCACAGCGAGATCCTGGAGAAACCCAGGCTTAGTGCCAAGGCACAGGAGCAGGGATTGGGCYGGGCCCGCCAGCTTCCCCCAACACCAACATCGGCATCCCAAAAAAGCAACTCGAGGATGGACAAATAAAAGYACTGACCCCTAAGRAAGMAGCACATGAAACATCTAAACCAAGACTAGCCAGGCTAGAGAAGCACTGACCCCTAAGGATGCAGCACACAAAATATCTAAACCAAGACTAACTAGGCTAGAAAAACACTAACCCCTAAGGAAGCAGCACATGAAACACCTAAACCAAGACTAACCAGGCTAGAGAAGCACTGACCCCTAAGGATGCAGCACACGAAACATCTAAACCCAGACTAACCAGGCTGGAGAAGCTAACAGGTCCCAAGGCGACCTCAAGACTAACTAGGGACGTTAGTCTAGTGCAAGCTCCCTGCCTGCTGCTCTGCCTTGCACTCCACCAACCCCTTCTGCTTCATCCTTGCTCAGATATTCCGGTTGCGACTCAACCATCTCTCTCAACAACTGGTTTCTGACCTTCGCTGAATACACGCTCCCTTGCCAAAGATGCTTGAGAGCAAGAAAAGGAGTTTGGAACAAGCCAGGCCGTGCCAATTAAGCCAAGCCCTCCTCAAATCCTCCCCTCASGCAGGCTCAGAGCCTTTTCTTGCAGTTTCTCCTCAGGCTGCTGACCAGCCCTACGTTTCAGAGGGACATGGGACAATTTACCTGGGGTGGCAGCAAGACAAGGAGCAGCATCTCTCCCCAGAACCTCTTGAAGAGACACTTTCCAGCTCTTCAGAGCCCCCCGATTTCCTCCAAGGTGCCTAAATGGCTCCTCTCACCCCCGTCACGGCCTGTCCAAGACTTCCAGCGCCCGCACAACCTCAGAGCCTGGAACCTCTTCTAATTTCAGACCCGTGTCGCTCCGAAGGGCTGGCTAAAAGCCATCGTCCACGTGGGAATTGCATCTCCCGAGAGCAGCCAGCACGAACTCCACCACTGACCGTGGCCTTGCAGGGCCCTTGAACCAGGGCGAACCCCCGAGCGAGACAGCCCCGAGCTCTGCGATCCATCCCGTGGACGCTTCCCTCCGCTCCCAACGGGAACGCGGCGCCCGGAGCCGAGCCCGGGAGAACCCTCCTCCCAGGCAGGAGGGACTCCGTTAATCCRTATTCCAGAAAGTGGAGCTTGGAGGGAAGGAAAGCAGTAGAGAGGGAAACAGAGCACAGGACAGAGAGAGAACAGAGGGAAGACTCAGCACCCTGGGTTAGCTTTGGGTAAAGCTCATGTCTGGAAGGGCACAAGCCATCCAAGTTATCCATTGCCTGGCGAGAAAGCAGGGAGGACATCCCTGCATTTTAGTCTGCTCCCAAGCCCGCTGCCCCGATAACCCCCTCTGAGCAGGTTTTCTTCCAATTAAGTCCAATTAAGGCAGGGTAGTGCAGAGATGCAGATGGGAACGGAGGGCAGCCGCGCTGCTTCAGAAACACTGGGGTTAAACAGAATAAAATCCAGGCATCAGTGTTGGCTAAATAGAGAGAAAACAAAAATTATCAGAATTTCTCTCTTCTCTCCCACAGCGCATAAACAGCGGAGACTGAAAGCTATTCAAAAAGTCGCCAGGGGTGTTTCTTTAATAAGACAGGAACAAAGAAAATGACTGTGCAATAAAAAAGCCAATTATCCAAGGAAGATGTACTACCTACTCACAGCCTGCCAAAGCCCTGCGGAGAGAATTTGCACTCGCGTGCTCGTATATATGGCCTTACGTGAGCACGGAGAGGGGCGTTAGACAACAAGAGGGGTTCTCCTCTGGCTGGAAAGCCCAGCCTARCCCCAGAACCCAGCTCGGGGACTCACGTCGAGGCCACGCTTTTCCAAGCAGGGTTTTCTCAGGCTGTGGGCAGAAAGTCCCGCGTTTCCACGCGGGAAAAAGGCTGCACGTGGAGCGGAGCAGCCCCTGGGCCGGCAGCGGGTGCCGCGGGGCACCCGGCACCGGCCCGGGGTGCGCGGGGTGCAAGCGGACGCGCGGCAAGCGGCTCTGGTGCGAGCGGCGACCGGCTGCCTGTTGTCACCCTTGTGACACGTCACCGCGGCCCCCGTTTGGGGACAAACCGCCCCTCTCCTCGGCACAGCCCTCCCGGGGGCTGCACGGGGAGGGAATTGCAGCGTGTGGCCGCCCCGGTCCCCCTTTGGCAGCAGGGCTTTTAATTGCTCATAAGCGCACGGTTCTTTCAACAAGAAGGGCCAATTTTGCACCCCTCGGGAGGGCGCGCTCATACGTCAGGCCAGCAAAGGAAGAGGAGAAGAGGTAAAAACATGGGGAAAAAAAAAGAGGAAGCAACAAGGAATGGGGTGGGGAAGAAGGACTGCAAAGTATCGTAACTTTAAGGATGCAACAGCATTAAAAAAATAATAATTTAAAATGTTCTCCCGCCCCATCCTTCATTTTAGGAACCAGTGTGTCTGTCAGAGGTTAGAGGGAAGAGAGAACAGGCTGGGTTAGGTTGGTGCAGTGCTCTCTGTGGTTATTAGAAGTCATGCATCGTAATAGACCATCACTCACTGCCCGCAGGAGGAGATGCAGCAGCAGCAGCAACAGCAGAAGTGGTGGGAGTGGAATTGACGGAGGAAAGAGCTACATGGGTTGGGCTAGAAACATTTTTTACATCGTGGTGCTGGCTCACGATGGAAGGCTGTCTCCTGAGGGCTCCCTGCAAAGAGGAGGCGCCGGTCTGGAATGTGTAAACTACGTCCATCTGTAAAGAACCAAGAGAGTGAGATAGCGGCGCCCCAGGCGGAGAAGGGGAGAGGGTCGGGGACGGGGGAGCAGGGAGGCCGGGCAGACACGGGATAGGAAGGAAGAAGGACGGATGGAGAGGTGGGGAGGAGAGGGGAGAGCCCCCCAGCCCGCGCTCCCAAACACCCGTGTCCGGCTGGTGTTCCTGGAGTCCCTGCCTGCCTCTTSGTTGTAGGGATGGAAGCAGCACCGGGAGGGACCTGGGCAGTGGGGAGTGCGACCGGAGACCCCTCGGGACGTCCCAGGGGGAGCGAGCGGGTGGGCAGAGCTGCGACGCAGCAGCCTGTGCCCTGGCGAGCTGCGATCCCATGGGATGTGCAGCCAGGCGGGGCGCGGATCCAGAGCTGCGCTGCCAGCACCCGGCCCCGCTCCAAGGGCGGCAAAGGGCTCCTGTACAAAGCGGAGCGGGTGGGGCACCCATGGAAGCAGCGAGGAAGCACCCACGTCGGTCCATGGACGTGCTCCAAAACAGGAGCCGGATGCCCGGGATTCCCAGGCACTCGACACCTGGATTTTGCCCATCTGCCAAGCGAGTGGGGCACTGCACGGCCCTGGGCTGCCCGTGCTGGGCAGAACGCTCCTCGCTGCAGCCTCTGCAAAGGGGCAGCCCCTCCAGAGCCGCTCACAGGTCCCACGTGCCCTGCAGACGTTTCACAAGCTGCTTTGCTCCTTGCCCACGTGGATCTCCTTCCACGCAGAGACCCTCTTTTCCACAGCACACCAGACCGGGCCGTGAAGAAGAAAMCCCTACGCTTCTCCTTCCAGGCACGTTGATCCAGGACATTCCATCAGAGGCCTTTTCGAGGCTCAGCTCTGACCTGCAGGCTGCTCTGCCCAACTTGCAGCCAGAAAGGGAGCAGCTCAAGAGCCCTTCCAACAGCTGCAATATCCAGGAGGGATGACCCCGAGCATCCCGATTCAGACCCAGGCTCAAGGGCACATCCAGCCTCTGCTCTTGCAGGTGTTCACACCTACCAGACCTCCACCCCCTGGACTGCCGGGTGCCAACTTGCACCCTTATGGGAGCAGCGATGCCCGTCTGCAACCTGGAGGGCTGCGGAGCCGAGATCCGGGATCGCAGCCGCTGCTCTCCCAACATCGCCCAGCRCCGGCGGCCTCCCGGAAAGGAAAACACCCGAGGCCGGTTTGCACCCGGCTGTTGGACCCTGCATGTTGCCCCCGAGGAGAGGGAGGACCAGGATGGGGACAGCAGCAGTGCCCAGTTCTTGGGGTTAGCCGAGTTATTCCCAACCCAGAATTGCGGCCAGCCTCAGGCCGAGGCTCCAAAGCAGGCGCAGGTGGCAGCGCACGAAGCCGAGCTCCGATGTGCTCGTGACATGCCACGATGTCCCACGTCTCCTGCACCACCAGGATGGAGCCCTGCATAGGGCRGTGGGAGCAGCGTCCCAGCAACGCCCCGAGAGCAGCTCCAACACCAAGTCACTGCAAACCCAACACACCAGCAGGGACACAAGGCCCCTCCATGGAGCTTCCRAAGCCCCTTCTTTGCCGAGCAAGGGGCCCCATCACCAGCACATCCAGGCTCGGGTGGACCAGCCTGTCCRGAGCTGCACGATGCCCTGCTCTGCACCAGAGCAGACCAGCATCTTCCCCAAGCTGTCCCACAACGACAGGCTGTTCTGGTTTCCCAACCAGAGCAGAAAGGCACAGACGGTGGAGGGAAGTCTAGCCCAGAAGGTGATGGCATCCTCTGAGCAGCACCAAGCACCTCTTTCCACACAGAGCCCCTGGAAACGGAGAAAGGGAGGAGAGAGAAGACCCCATCGGGCCCTGCTGCCCTGCAGTACCTGAGTCTGTATCCTGTTGAGGCCCCTGAACCACAGGATCTGCCCACGCCGCAGCTCCATTTCGGCGTGGTCGATCTCATCCACGTCCTCGGGGAGCTCCTCCTCCGGGATCTCCTCCTTGGTGATGCCATGGCCAGCTTCCTTCAGGAACTTCAGGTGGCTGGTCGGGACAGTGCAGATCAGCTGCGGAGAGGCAGGGAGAGAGCAGCTCCTTAGTCTGGGCACCCCAAGGCCCCTAGGTGCCCATATGCCAAGCGGGATAGAGGCCCGGGGTATTTTTTGAGGCTGGCTCTTACCTGACCCCAAAGGAGCTCTCCCACTCCAATAAAAATACACCAGAACCACTGGCTCAGGGTGAGGCCGGAGCAGCTGAATGGCTTGCCACCAAACTCCACAATGATGATCTAGAGCACAGGAGAGAACAAGTCGCACGCTGGGGAGCTCAGAGGGCTGCACTGGGGCAACCAAGGGACAAAAGGGACTCCCCAACCCACAGATCTTCTCCCCTGCCTTGGGATCACAAGAGGAACAAGGAGCTAGTATTTAGGCTACTATCTTTACAGGACACCAGAGTGGTGGCTGGTCGGCCCTGCGATCTCCCAACACACTTTAGACCCTTGTCCCAGGTTTTATGTCACCAAGAAGCTGCTGGAGAAGAGCAAAGGGAAAAACAGAGTCAATAGCTGAGGTGGTGACAGACCCAGGTCCTACGTTTGAAGTTCCCTTCCTGCCCCACCACGCATCCCCACGCCACTCCGGTGGCCTCACCTGAGCTGCAAAGGTCCCAAGCACCACTGTGCAGAAGATGGGATTCCGATAGATGGACTCGAAGACGTTCCTCTCCCCATGGATCTTGCGAGCGTTGATCTCGTTGAACAACTGCATCATGACGAAGGTGTTGAAGACGATGGTGTAGTGTTCGGTGGGCGGGGAGTGCAGGGGGGCATTGCGGCCACTGTCGATGTCGAAAAACTTCTCCCCTAAAAGCAGGTGAGAGGTTTAGGGGGAAGGGATGAGGAAGGGTGGAGGAAACGGGAGGTGAGATTGTAGAATCAAAGAATCCTTAAGGTTGGAAGGGACTCCAAGAGACCATCTAGTCCAACCCCCCTTTACAGATAGGGTCACCTAGAGCAGGTGGCACAGGATTGCATCCAATCCCGTTCCTTACTCCAGCACTGCACTGCTGGAGGTGGAACTAGGATCTCAATCAAGTGCTGAAGAGCCCTTGACCCAGAGCCCCCCACGCTAGCCCACTCTTGCTTTGAAGACCTTAACTTGATGTTCTTCTGGCTGAAACCATCTTTGCACCTGGTGAAACCTAGGGCAGACCCACACTCTTGAGAAGCCTTTCATTATCACCAACATGCACCACTCCCCACCCWGTAAGTTAGCTCTGCCCTGGGGTTTCTGGGCTATGGCTCAGCATGAGGATCCCCAGTGCTACTCTGGAGGCAAGGGAATGATCTGCAGACCTGCACCCACCCATTTTGGGGGACTTTACCTGCAAAAAGCAGCGTGAAAATGATAGTTAGCTGGTACACYGCGTGCCCCAGGATGTTCTTCATCATCGTGCGGGAGATGAGCGGCTTGTTGCGGCCGTAGGGCTTGCGGAGCAGCAGAGACTCGGAGGGGGGCTCGGTGGCCAGGGCTAGGGATGCAAAGGTGTCCATGATGAGGTTCACCCACAGCATCTGCACAGCCTTCAGGGGAGAGTCCTGCGGAGAGGAGGAGGGACAACCCGTGACATTCYCTCTTGGCCCTTCCCCATTCCACAGGCGTCCCCGTTTCCCTCTCCAGCTGCCCGTACCTGCGTGATGCAGGCCCCCGTGAAGGCCACGATGACGGCCACCACGTTGACCGTCAGCTGGAACTGCAGGAACTTGGAGATGCTGTCGTAGACGTTGCGTCCCCACATCACCGCCTTGACGATGCTGGTGAAGTTGTCATCCGTCAGGATGATGTCCGAGGCCTCCTTGGCGACGTCTGTGCCCGCGATGCCCTTGAGGGAACAAGTGGCAGCCGTGAGTCACCGGCCGAGCTCCAGGCTGCCCATCTTGSCTCCAGGATTCTGCTGCTTCCCAGAAACAGCCCCGAAACCGGTGCCAAAAGAGGTGGGAACCAGGCCTGCTTGTGCCGCAGGGAGCTGGATGCCAGATCCGAGCTCAGCTCCGGCTGCAGGACACCAGCTCACCTCCCTCCCGGGGCTCCGGATCAGCGCAGCGTTTGAGYCCCAAGCTGCAAGTGCTCCCATGAAGGGACCACGGTGCAAGGAAGCAGAGGAGCTCACAAGCAGCTGCCTCCTCCCTACGGCTGGAAAACCTGCAGTGCCCGGCTGCGAGTGGGAAGCGGGAGTCCCAAAGGAGCAGGAGAGTTCAACAGCACGAGCCTCGTGTGCCCGGGTGCCCATCACAGCCCCCGTCCAGAGCTCCGGCCACCAGATCCGCTCCACGGCCACCTGGAGCCCCTGTCACCCGTGGTCTCAGCGCCAGGCGTGGGCGGCTCAGCCGGCTGCGCTTCTCCTGGCGGGCACTGAGAGGCGCCCGATCCGCGCCCAGGCCGCCCGCACCGGGCACCCGAGCCGCCTTCCCCGGGACCTGCCGCCGGGAAGTTTCCCTTCGGATTTGCAAGATCTTAACCCGGAATCCCTCGGGTTTTTTTTTTTTTTGCAGGGCACAAGCCGCAAGGCAAAGCCAGAGCGGTCGTGGGGAGCGCACGTGTCGGCTGATCCCAGCCCCTTGGGAAGCCCCATGCCAGCTCAGAGCCCCAGGCAGAGACTCCCTTCCGCTATTCCAGCTCAGGAATTGTGCTCAAATCTCTAGCAGCTTCCTACAAATTCTCTTCGCCCACCCCAATATTTTCCCTTTGCATATAAGCTTCACACAGCGGCTTAGACAACCCCTCCTGCAGCCAGCTCCTGCTCACCTACAAAAACCTAAACAATTCATAGGAACCCAGTTAAAACCGACGGATTTATTTTCTTGCCTCTTCCAGACAGGGCAAAGAGGAGCAATGAACTAGAGATCAGAGCTGCCCACTGTAAATAAACCTCCCAAGTCAGCGCCAGTGCCACACGAGGAGCCCGGCCTGCCCATTACGAGCCTGGGTGAAGAACTGCAGAGATAAACCAAGTCCAACTGAACTCCTGGGCTCCCACCGCCCTCCTGGACCTCACGCGTGAGGAAACCAGGCCAGGCAGGTCACAGCTTTCAACTGCATGCGCTGCCTGCAGGACATCAACTCTGCAAAATCCACAACTCGTGGGTGACCCTCTAGGAGGGTCAGAAAAGGSCACTTTGAAGCCAGGCTACCAGAGGACCGTTTCCCCGCCAACTTTCCCTACGAACCCTATATTATTTTTCAAAAAAGAAGGTTTCTTKTATCTTTTTAAAGCTGTTAGGTAGATTTGGAAGACAGTTTCACACGATTCCCCAGAGTATGGACTGCCCGCCATCCCATACCATGGCAAATCCAACATCGGCTTTCTTCAAGGCTGGGCCATCGTTGGTCCCGTCTCCCGTCACGGCCACCACCTGCCTCTGGTCTCCAATGGTGCTGTCGATAATTCCTGAAACGGGGACACGGGAGATCAGAGCAAGCCCCGGGCCAGGCAGCCCCAGCAACAGAGCAGCCCAAGGGGGATGTGCAGCTGGAGCATCTCCCATCCTCACGGGATGGGGCCTTGGGAAGGAAACCTGGAATGATCCCGCTCTTCCCAAGAGGACACGAGGTGGGAGAGCCGTGCAGAGGGAGAAGCCCCTGGCCACGCTCACCTTTCACAAGCGTGTGCTTATCCGTCGGCGAGGAGCGGGCCAGCACGCGCAGCTTGGGCCAGATCTTGTCGAGCTGCTCTTGTTCCACCTGCGGGACAAGGGSCACATGAGCGGGGACACCCGGCAAGCTCCGAGGATCCCCCCCCCGCCAAAAGAAAATAAATCGTGCCTTTATTCAAGGATAAAGGCACAATAACCTTTATTCAAGGAGAGGAGGAAAACTCGGACAGATCCATGGGGGTTATTGCTGCAGTGTCACTACCCCCTCCATCACGGATGGGCCCATGGGTGCCCATCCCGGCCCCGCGCTCGCCCTGTCCCCAGGCGCTGCCTCACCTCTCCCTTCTCGTTGCGGATGAGCCGGTTGAATTCCTTCCCCTCCAGGCACAGGAAATCCTCTCCCGGCAGCAGGATGCCGCACTTGGTGGCAATGGCGCGCGCCGTGTTGATGTTGTCCCCCGTCACCATGCGGACGGTGATGCCCGCACGCTGGCACTTCAGGATGGCATCTGGCACCTGGCGAGGGGGACACAGAGAGGGTCAGGGTGGCACCGACTGGGCACTCGGACTCGGCCCATGAGGAAAAGCRGCTCCGGGAAGCTGGAGGGAAGCGGAATTGAGGTGGTCTCTGGACTGTCCCCAAGGACACATCAGGCGGCTGCTTCGCTGCTTTACAAGTGACCCGGAAAACCCGTCGGGAAGGGCCGGGGGTCTCTCGCGGCCCATCGCAGGGCTGTGCGGAGCCAGGTGCTGCCCTGCAACTTGCAGGAGGGACCACGTGCACGGACACACACCCCTGTGCCAGGATTCACGGCAGGACAGTGGGAATTCTCTCCCACTTTCCCTAAATGGGAAGCAGAGCCAGGAAGCAGCAGCTCAGCCTCGGTGATGAACTGAAGCGAGGCTCCCTCCCGGGCTCACCAGCCTCCATTTTTGGGGCTTCCAGGCAGCCCCGTGGCAATCAAGGGGGCCGGAGAAGGCACCCTGCCCTCCTCGTCCTGCAGATCCCGCCCGGCTGCTCCTCCACGCAGCCGCCCCGCGTTCCTTGGGCGCCTCCGGCCGCGCTCACGTGCCTGTCGGGAGCGGTTTCGGGGGCACGGGACGGGCCAGTGGCCRCCCCGAGGGGCGGGCAGCCTCGCCATCTCCTCCCAGTGACCCCGCGGGGCCACCCGTCCCGCGGGGGCTCCGCGTGCGCCCCGCGCTGTGCCCGCCGGCGCCTCGCTGCCCCCAYGGCTTTGCCCAGCACGGAGCGGTGCAGTGCGGCGGGAAGAGGATATTAGCGARGAATTAGCAAATCGAATCACGGCCGCCAGAGCCGGAGCACGCGGGGCATCTGGAACGCAATTCCCCAGCCCAGATACTTCTACGTCTAATTAAGAAATGATGCAAGCGGAGCGGGAGCACAGGGCAAGCTCCGAGGCGCAGCCCCAAGGCAGGCTCGGGAGGGCTGATTGCATCAGCCCAGCCGCCCGCCCGCCACCCTGGGCAGGGCAGGGGGCTGCACGGCTGCCAGGCAGCAACCAGCAAGGGGGGAAAACAGGCCTGCCCTCCCCTAGCAGCCTCCCTCATCCTCCCTAACCATTCTGTGACCATCTCCACGCAGCTTTCAAGCGAGCGTGCAACCACCATCTGGCCACAGCAGGGACTCCAGGAACCAGAGGGGGAAAAATTAGTGTGGAAACACCCCGAAACGGGTGGGCACAGYGGTGCAGGGGCCTCTGTACCTCGGGCCGGACGGGATCCTCTATGCCGACCACGGCGATGCAGGTCAGGTCCGAGAGGATCTCGTTCTCGCTGTCCCAGTCCGGCTCGGCGTCACCGTGGAAGTCACGGAAGGCCAGGCAGATGGTCCGTAAGCCGTGGCAGGCCATGGGCTCTATCACCTTCTTCACCATCTCATCCCGGTCCTTCACCTTGAATACCCGGGTATCACCRTTCTTGTCCAAGATCCTGGTGCACCTAATGCCAGGAATGGGGTGGGGAGGTCAGAGGAGAYGCAGCTCTGGCACCTGCTTAGCAAGGTGCTCAGGAAAGACCAACATTAATTCCAAAAGCCCATTCCCTTTGTCATTCAGCTCCTCAATGCAAAGCAGGGATATCCCTCTGTCCTATAGCTCCCAAGTGCTTTATCAAGGCCACAATGAAGCCCTCTGCAAGGCAGCACCATGATGACCTGCTCCCTCCCACAGCTCCCAGAACTTCTCCACAGCACATCATGACCCCCAAGGTTGGGCAGGAAGGCTGGGAGGACCCCGTAAGCAAGGGAGGGCAGTTACTTGCGGAGGATGATCTCGGAGGCTCCCTTGCTGTACATGCGGAAGGTGCCGTTGCTGTTCCTCAGCACCGTGCTCATGGACTTGCGCACCGAGTTGAACGTGTAGACCTTGTAGAGCTTCTCCTCCGGCACCTCGTTCCGCACGGCCTGGTAATCCTGCTTCAAGTCCAGCACAAAACCCAGCAGGGCGCACTCCGTCTTGTTGCCCACTTGCCTGGGGAGCCCCCCTTCCTTCTCTGGTGGCTGGAAGAGAGGAAGGAAAAGCAAAAATCAAACCTCAGTGCAGCACGAGAAGAGCAACAAGGAGAACCCCATGGACAGAGGTTGCTCGGGGCTGGGACGCACCAGGATCTTGGAGGTGTAGGCAGAGTTGACGGCCACGCCGTGGACTATGAGGTCCAGGACCTTGGGCAGGATGGCTTCGGGGTCGGGGATCTGGCGGTAATGGGTGTCACCCACGTAGGCCTGCACCACGGTCATGCGGTTCATGGTGAGCGTGCCTGTCTTGTCCGAGCAGATGGCCGTGGCGTTGCCCATGGTCTCGCACGCGTCCAGGTGCCTCACGAGGTTGTTGTCCTTCATCATTTTCTGCAGCAGGAGACAACCAGCACAAGGAAGGTTAGAGAAAAGCCCAGATGTCCTTCATCTCACTGGGGCCCTGCTCTATCATGGCCTCACCTTGACAGAATAGGCCAAGGAGATGGTGACGGCCAGCGGGAGCCCTTCGGGCACCGCCACCACTAACACGGTGACACCGATGATGAAGAACTTGACGAAGTACTGGATGTAAATGGGGGTGCACTCCGCCAGCCAGGGCCGGCCCTGCACCCCGAACGTGTCGATCACGAAGTACAGCACCAAGATGATCACCGTGATGGCYGACATGATGAGCCCTGCGGGAAGAGGCAGAGGAGGAGGTGAGGATGCGCAAGCCAGAGCGGCGCTCGATGCAGAGACCTCCACTGAAGACCACGCAACGAATCTCCAGGACCATCGTGACTCACCTGCCTTCCCGATCTGGACTGCCAGGCGCGTGAGCTTCCCTTGCAGCACCGACTTCTCCTTCTTGGGGACTTTCACCTTCTTCTTCTCCTTCTCCTCGTTTTCCACCCCCTCCTGGCTCTTCAGGGGCTGGATCTCTAAGGCCACACCATCCTGCGTTTTAGCTACAGCCCAGGGCAAAAGAGACACCACGTGTGAATAGGAGAGAGACCAGGGAAACCTCTCGGGCACCGTCGAGAAAGATGGTGGTGGAAAAAGAGAAAACCCAGAGTAAAAAAAAAAAACCAAACCAAAACACAACCCCAAACACGTTCCCTGCAACACACGCACGCCTCCGAGCACATGGAAACCTCGCAGAGCCCGACACGGACAAAACACGCACCCGGACACACGTCTGACGGGAAGGAGGGAAACTGCTGAGAGGAGAGAGAAAGGTGGAAGAAGAGTGAGAGAGAAAGGGGGGGAAATGGGTTTCCTCCACAGCCTGCAAAGAACAGGGCGAGAAACAGGGCGACGCTCACGGAGTCGAGGCGGCCGCACGGGAGAGGGTGCAACRGCGGCGGCGGCTCCGCGCTCGGCCCTTCCCACCGCCCGGCTGCTTCCCGGGATGGGCCCTGCTGCGGGACAGGCGACGAGGGGCATCCGGAGGGCGGAGGAGCCCGCRGGTCACGGGGGCTATCCCGGGAAAGGGCTGCGGCCCCGTTGCACCCTCTCCCGGACGTGGAGAGGCCGCCGGAGCAAAGAGCACAGACTCATGAGAAGAAAGGAAAGAAGGAAGGAAGGAGGAATGCTTGGTAGTTAGTGTGGTGCCGGTTCAAAGGATGGAGAGGCTGGTTACCTTTGTTGCGATTTTCTGGGGCTCCAGGTTTTTTACCTGTTCAAAGAGAGAAAGGGGGGGGTGCTGAGCACAGGGATCTCCACATTCCCAGGCGGCTGCAGGGACCCTGCTCTGCTCCGGTTCCCTCCGGGATGCGGCTGCACAAACCACCTGCCCTCGGGCACCAGCCCCGCCGTGCCCGGCACTGGGATGAGCAGGAGTGCCGAGCGCTCCCTGGCTTTTCCAAACACTGTGTGTCCCCGGGCTTGGCGCTTCCCTGCTTGCGAAGCCCCTGCCGCAAACCGGGGGGCTCCGGCGTTCCCAGGTCCTGCTCTCGGGCGCCAGGGTTGTAGCCCGAGCTGCTGYGCACGACACGGAGTCTCTGCAGCGAGACCCGAGCCGGGAAAACCCTCATTCCCAACCCGAAGCCCCAGCACAGGGCCCGGAGCCAGGTCTGCTGTGGGATTGAGTGGTAGAGGGTGGAAAAAACACCAACGTCAAAAAAAGAATTAAAATAAAAGTCYGTCCTCAGAAACCTCAGCACCCCCAGAGCGTTCCTGCTGGGCCAGCCTGGTCGCTCGCTGCCACCCTGCTGCACCCGAGCTGCTCGGCCAGGGCTTTTGCTCCCTGCAGTCCCGGGAGCCCTTCTGTCCTGCGGGACCGAGCTCCCGCGGCCGGGATCCTGGCCCAACTCCTCTTCCTCGGATGGGGAGCGGCTCCGCGGCTTCCCTGCGCCTCCCAAACTGCCCTGTCCCAAATGTGCCATGGGGGCATTTCCTCCCAGAGCCGCTCCACATCTCCCCAAACATCCCTGCTTTCACATAGCCAACCAGATGGTGGGAAACCCCAGGAGCTTTGTAGGCGCCAAACTGGATGCTCCAGAGCAAACGCCTTCCTCCAACTACCCCTGCTGCCTTCCAGGCCCTTTCAGTGCTCCCACATGACCCTCCCTTTGGGAAGGGGATGCGGAGCCGCAATGGCCTGTGCTGGGCGAGTGGCCTGGAGCTGGGACTGGTGCCAGGAGATGCCTCCGTCCCATCCGGCATCACTTCCCAGGCCAGCTCCGCACCCAGCACGGCGGCGATGCCGCCGGCTCCCGGCGAGCCCAGACCCGCACGACGGGGCTGCGCGGAGCACGCGGATCCCAACGGCGGCTCCCAACCCTCCTCGCTCGAGCGGGGAAACGAGCAGCGAGATCCRAGCGCCGAGGCGGGAAGCTCCTCAAGTCCCAGCACGAGCAGGAACCTCAGCCCAGCTGGCTGCTCTCCTGCCCTCCGCCCTGCTGGCAYGGCAAACCCTCCTTCCCACTCTGCTCCGACTCGTGCGGCTCCGAGGACACCGGCGGACAAGCTCAGCGAGTCTCCAAGGCACAGGATGCACTGAAAACCTTGGGAGAAGCAGGAATCACCTTCCCACCACAGGGTGGGCCACGTGCCAACGCATGACTGCGTCCCATGGACAGGGCCAGAGCTGGTTGCACATGGATAGATGCTTCCCAGAGCTGGGAGAAAAGCAAAAGGAATGGGAAAAAGAACAGGTTCGAGGTATGTCCTTACCTTTCTTCACCTTCTTTTCCTCATCCCCTTCTCCTGCACCCAGGAGAGTGAAGATGATGCCCGTCTGCGAGTTTATACCCACAGCAGTGACCACCATGCGTCCCGATCCCTCCATCACRTGGGTACCTGGCACAACAGGAAGGGCACGGTGAGGAAGCAGCCCACGGAAGCAGCCTCCTCTCCATCACCAGCACAAACCCAGAGCACTTGAGACTGCCCAGGCCTTGCAGCAAGGAGCTGAGGGAAGTTTCCTTCCCCAAGCATCAACTTTCATGGAAGGCCAAGGCTTAGGACCTGAAAGCAACCTCAAACCTTGTGTTTTTCCRCTCATCCACAAGTGCTTCAGGTGCAGGTTTGGTTTCCTGCCCAAGAACCTCACCTGACAGCAGCATGGGGTCTTTCTCGAGGGACTTCTTGACTTGGTCTGATTCCCCAGTCAACGAGCTCTCATCAATTTTCAAGTCATTCCCTTGGATCAAGACGCCATCCGCTGGCAGGAGGTCACCTAGAAAGGAGGAAAGAGTCTGAAGGAGCAGCCCAAATCCGGCAAGTTTCAGCTCAGCCTTCGCTGCAGCACCTTAGGAGGAGACTTTCTGCCCTGGGAATTTGGAGTCCTTTTGCCAATCTCAAACTAAATCTGGACGGAAAGGATACAAAGGTTGGTATTAAAGGATGACATTTAATAGCTCCAAAATCTTACTGACATATTAGTTTTGAGGCCCTTGGCTCAGCAAATCAGCTGGCGCTTTCCACTATCAGCTTTACCAAATCTGTCACATCCCTTCCAAGGCTTCCCGATACATTCGAACGGTTTCRGGATCACATCATCCACCCACAGAGGTGGAGAAAACCCCTTATGTTAAAATCAACAGCAGGCTGGAACAAACCGGCTCTTTTGGGGAACAAACACACCCTCTGGGAAGCAAGGACAGGGATGGACACGAGCCCAAAGGAGCTGCCAATCCACCTCTTCGGAGGGGCTCCTTGCTGCTGGGATGCTGGCTGCCGGGGATACAGCTAAGGAAAGGGAATCGTTCCCATTCCCAGAGCAGTCCGAAGGCAACAGGCGTGCGTGGAGCCTGGTCCAGCGCGGCCAGCCCTGCTCCGGTCGGCGAGCTGAGCATCGCTGCCCACGCGGGAGCATCTCCCACCGCTCCCAGCTGACACAAAGAGGGAGACATGGAGCAGAGAGCAGAAGGAGCTGCCCGGGAGGCAAAAGGGCCGGCAGAAGCAGAGAGAAGGGACCGAGGGGCTCGAGACGGAGCAGGAGCCCCGGGCAGCGGCGCCCACTCAGCTCCCCCCACTCACCGTACTTGATCTGCGCGATGTCGCCCACCACGATCTCGGCCACCGGGATCTGAATGACCTGCCCCTTGCGGATGACCGTGAATTTCTGCTCCTGCTCGATGCGGCTCTGGAGGCCCCGGAACTGCTTCTCCTTGCTCCAGTCGTTGAAGGCGGTCACCAGCACCACGATGATCACGGAGAACAAGATAGCGGCGCCCTCGATCCAGCCGGCCTGCGACTCGCCCTCGTCCTCCACGCCGCCCGTCGACTGGCCGCACACTGCGACGGGAGCCAAGGAAAACCCAGCTGGGCTGGGAGATACCCGGTATCTCCAGGAACACGCACMGAGCAGGGCCCGACCTCTCCTCCCTCAACTGCTCCAACCGCTGTCCTTGCTCTTTTTTTTTATTCCTTTTTTTCCCCTCCTTTCAGCCCATCCAGGGGTTTTGCTCCAGGTGTGGGCTGACCTGGCCATGCAAGGATGGGGAGCCAGGGGATCCAGTATCTTTTTTCCCCCCAGTTTCTCTGCTCCTCCCTCTCTCAGCCTTGGCAGGCGTCACCATCTCTCTGCATCTCTGTCCCCCAGATCCCTGATCAAGACTTCCAAAGACATGGAAGTCCAAGACCAGGGCGGAGAAGGAAAGGTGCCCAGTGCCACGTGGCTACGTGGAGGGATGCCAAGGGGCAGAGCCTGGTCCCTCCATGCCCCAAGTCCAGAGGAAACCCAAGGGGACCCGGGAAGGGACCAGACGGATCCCCCTGCTTTTGTGCATCCTTTGACGAACCTCAAGGAAAAGCAGTGGTGCCTCCACACCAGGAAMCAGCACACAGGGACAAGGCACCACTTAACGGATGAGCAGAGATGGCTTCATCAAAGCCACCAGCACCCGCCACCCTGCACCAGGCTGCAAACTCTGCCTGCACCATCACGGAGATCCACCYGGGATGACCCTCAGGGAGGTCCCTGCTCCGTGGGGCCAACCAGGCTGGCTCCCAGAGGCCACATATCCCTACAGCAACACGGGGGGGACACGGGGACTCACATTCGTTGTCCCCACCAGGCGGGTGGTAGAATGAGAGGCCCAGGGAGATTATGGCTGCGATTTCCAGGATGATCAGCGTGACGTCCTGAAGCGCCTCCCACACCAACTGCAGGAAGGTCTTGGCCTTCTTGGGAGGGATGAAGTTCTGGCCGAACACTTGCCTCCTCTTCTCCAGATCCGAGGGGTTCGCGGACAGACCTGCGCGGGACACAGGGACACAAGCTCACGCATTCCATGAACCTTCCGCCAAGGTGCCAGAGGCTCCCACCCTGGCATCACGATGCCACCACCATCCCCACGGTGCCACCACCATCCCCATGGTGCTGCAAGAGCCGGAGGTGCCACAGGGTCCAGTCGCAGCTCCGAGGAAGCCGGGGCAGGACCCGTGGGGAAGCGCAGGGCGAGAGGAGCCGCCTGCGCCCAGCCAAGCGCCCGCGCGTCACCCCATGCCAGTTGGCACCGGGCRGCTTGTTTACACCCTGCACCAACCCAGCCGTAAAGCTGGCACGGGGAGCGGTGCCCGGAGCCACCCGATCCGCTCGCTGCCGCCAGCTCCGAGGCGGCGACGCGGCGGGAGCGTCTCCGGCCGCGCAGCTGCCGCCYGGGCACCGGCGCTCGCCGGCAAACGTGGCGCGACCGGAGCAGCTCCCGCCGGTGCCTGGAATGTCCAGGGGATTTTCCCCTCCCTGCACCAGGATGGRGATAACGGGGGTGTGGAAAGGAGCAGGGCATCCCGAAGGGCACCGTGCGGGTGGAAGGGCGCTCGAGCTGCCACCCTGCGCCGTGGCACAGGGAAGGGGATGCACAAAGGGACATGAAGGCTCCTCTCTGTGGGGCAGCAACGTGTGACACCCCCTTGGCACTGGGGGCTCCATGGCCCCATATCCGCAACGGGGTTCCAGGAGATGGGAACTCGGCATCCTGCTCCCGCATGGCCTCAAAGCCCTGAAACAGCTCGGGGGGGCCCAGGACCAGGGCAGCCCCCCTGCCCAGCACCACCTTAATGGAGCCGGGCGCCGAGCCCTCGGGCTCCMTCTCCACCTTAAGAGCACCCACGACTCCGGCCAGCTCCCGAGATGCTCCAGGCAGGGCAGGGCTGGAACAGGGCACGGCRGGACACGGTGCCGTGTCTGGAGCCGCCTGGCAGTGCCGCGATTCCCGCCTGGAGCGGGAGGGCCCCTTCCCACCAACTTGGCTGCATCCCGGTATCTGGGACGGGAAGAGGCAGGATGAACCTGGTGTCCTCCCCAACACCGCTCCACACGCCCTTGGCTCCCGGGATGAAAACCCGCAGATGCCGGGAGGTGACGCGGAGGTGACGCGCGGGCAGAGCGGGCCCAGGCGTCCCCACCCTGGCCAGCAGCAGCCTGGGATCTCCGGGGCCTCCCAACCTTCCCAGGGCCCAGCCCAAGCGGGAACGCCTCCCGCCCACCGGCTCCGGCGGGATGCRTGGAAAATCTCGCTAAGAGCGGCGCGCTTTGACTCATGCCGGCGGCAGGGAGGCTGCAAACCTCCCAGCCTGCAGGAACCCCCTCGTGCACTCGGGTCACGGCAGGTTTGGGGACAGATGACACAGGTCACCGGCAGAGCAAGAGGTGTCCCAGTGGACACRGGGACCGCGCTCGTGGTCACCGCAGTGGCGCTGCGGACGGGGTGGCACGTGGCAAAGCGGCCGGGGGACCGCTGTGGGTCAGGGGCAAGGCTCCGCGCCTCAAAGCGGCATCTGGGCCCCCTTGGCCAGAGGCCACAGGCCAAGGAAGGGGGTTCGTTTCCCACTGTCCCCTCCCATCCTGCCCCGGAGCGAGCACTCCGGCCGCTTGGCAAGGCGGCGTGCATTGTTCCGTGCTCTGGATCCGGCATTTCCACCGGGACAGCCCCCCTTCTCTAATGACATTCCAATATTGTCTTCGCTGCCCCCTCCTTCCCGGTCCCGCTTGCAGCTGTGCGGTGTCCTAATCCCCTGCTTTGGGCACTGGGAATAACTGGCGGGTTTGCCGAGCGCAGGGACACCCGTGTGCCCCCGCACCGGGGCCATCCCAGCCCGGCGGGACGAGCGGAGCAGCCGGTTCCTCCTACGGCTTCGTGCTTCGAATGGCACCAAGGGGAATCCCATCCCAGCACCCAAAGTTGCTTCTCCCTTGGGCTGCCCCCGTGATGCTCCGGGCACGATGGAACAGGGACCATTTCCCACCAGGCTGGTGATGAACCCTTGGTGCAACAGGGCCCCACGCTCAACTTGACCCCAAACTGGTCCCACCAGCCCCACGTCCCCCATGGGACACCGGCCACGGCCAAGAGCCTCTTACCGTCCACCGACGACGTCTTCAGCCTCTTGCAGAGGTTCTGGACGCCCCCGTACGAGTCGTTGATCCTGGCCACGGCCTCGGCGCTCCGCAGCTCCATGAGGTTCCTCAGCTCCACCACGGAGCACCCAAAGTCCCCCTCATGGTTGCCTTCGGCCACCGAGTTCCCGGGGTGGTGGTCAGCCACGTTGTTCGTCATGGTGCCGGCGCAGGCGAGACGAAGAGGGGAGAATCCGAAATTCCAAGGTCCCGAGGCTCCGGGGCGATCCTCGGTGCCGCGAGAGGCGGCGGCAGCGATGAGCGGGCGCTTCCCAACGGAGCTTCCCAGGCGGAGCGGGGGCCTCTAGCCCAGGCCCAGGTGTCCGCAGGAGGGTGCGAAGGGGCTGCGCATGTTCCCACCGCGGCCCCCTTAGCAACGGGCGCCGCGCCGCTCCTGCCGCAGGCGGCCGCTTCCCTGGATACCGCAGCAACCGGAGCTGTGGAAACGAGGCCCGGAATGAGAACGTGGGCACCGGGAGGCCCGCGGTGACACCCGCGCGGCTCCTGTGGGACGGGGAAGGTCGTTCCCACCGGGAGCACCACGATGCTCGCGGCGGTGCCGCTTACGGACGGGTTCCCATCCGAGCAACTATCCGCTCGTTGCTGCCCGGTCCTGCGGGAAGAGCGGCCAGGTGGCTCTTCACTCGGCGCCCAGCTGTCCCCAGCCCAGAAAACCGTCCCCTCCCTCGTCTTTGGGTTTAAAAATACAGCTTGGGAGTGGAAAACAGCTGCTTCCTGCCCCATCCCGGCGAGGGGAAGCCCGGGAACGGCGCTGGCGGCAGGTAAGCGAAAACATCCCATTGATTCCGGCGGCGGCGAGACGGGGCTCGGCGCTCCAGGCTTTTCATCGGAGACGCTCRTCAGCAACGCGGAGAAGCCACGAAAACCCACACGCTCCTCCGGAATAAAGCAGCACTCGCATTAATCACATCCTTGCGGGCTCTGTCTCAGGCGGCCCACTCGTACTACGCTTACGAGCGCTATTCCCGAAGCCGGGAAGGAGGCGGGGAGGAGCGCGGAGCTGCTGCGGGCCGGGGGACAGCGGAGCCGCCGGCTCTGTCCCACGTGCGGCCGCCAGCAGGGAGGGACATTCCGAGCGGGGCGCAGGGACACCCCGAGCCAGGTCCCCAGCACCCCAGGGCAGCAGGAGCCTGCCCAGAGATACTGAGAGCAAAGGAGGGTCCCCCAAAAACGAGCAACAAAAGGAGTCTCTCCTCTAAGGGCCGATATGGAGAATTGGGACCAGGGACAAACCAGGGACACCAGCGTGTCCCTCCCGCGATTCCTGCAGAGCCAGACACCGCAGCACAGCCCCCAGCGCCCACCTCCCTCCCAGCACCCCCCGCAACAGCATTAACACCCGCAACGGCAGGAAAACACCCCAAAACGCGAGCCGGCGGGTACTCGCGGGCCACTCACCACCCTCGCCGGAGGCCACGGAGGGTTTCACGTTATCAGGAGGCGGCAGGCGCCGAGCGAAGGGGCTGGCCCCGCGTTCCCGGGGGGCCCTGGTGCCTGCGGACCCCGCGTTCCCGCGGGAAGCCAGGCGCATCCGCCGCTTCCAAGGCCCCAAAGCTGCTGCCCGCAGCAGGTGGGCGGCGCTGGAGCCAATTAAGCCGCCTCCTGCGGAGCAGCGGGATACACGGAATAATTCCCCCCGCCTCAACACGGGGACTTTCGTCCCCCCTTCTCTAGCAAGGAGCATCTCCCGAAAGCAGCCAAGAGGTTATGAAGAGAAAGGCAGCTAATTAATATAGTACCGGAGAGGTTCCTAATTAATTTGGGCATCCTCGTGCCAGCGCCCTGGCCCCGGGCTGGACTCTGYGGAGCACCAGGACCTTCCCAGCCCGGATGCAACACGGGCAAGTGGGGAGCTGGGGCTTCCCCAAGGGCTCTGGCCTAACGAGCTCCTAATGACTCCGACAGCAGTCACGTCACTAAGAGTAATGAGTCTGCAGAGCCCTTGGGCGYGGAAAGGGAAGAGCCGCTTCCCAAGGCTCTCCTTGGGGGAAAGGCAAAGGAGGGAGGAAGAGAAGGGAGACGCAAGGGTGTAAACCTGCTCCCTGCAACCCGCCTGCACCAAATCCCATCGGGAATCTGCTCCGGGATGGCGCTGACTGCGGAGGGGGGCGGCACCGAGGCCGGGCGCCCGGGACGCAGCGGGAAGGAGGGAGCCGGCGGCGCGGAGCGGCGAGGCCGGTGCAGTGCTGCAGACAAACCTGCCCGGAATAATAAACGGCTGCACGACACCTCCACGGGGCCGGGCACCGCGCACGCAGGAAAGCTGCCGACTTAGCTCCGAGACCTGGGAGGAGGAAAAGAGATCGGGCAGCGAGGGAAAAACACCTGGATCTGCAACAAGCTGCAGGGCACGGCTGGAGAAACAGGTTGCCATGCAGGATCAGGCCCAAGAAAACAGATAAAACCCCCTAACCCATCCCAAGAAACCCTTCCCTGATGTTTTCCCGGCTGTATGAACACGGGATATGCGCAGATCCAGCCCCTTMGCCGTCCCGGACTCGGGCTGCGCTCCGGCGCGGCGGGTACCGGCGCTTGGCGGCTGCAGGTTGCCATGACAAACACACGGGAAAGCTGCACCAGGGAGGCTGTTGGTGCTGCAAATGGTGACAGGGGGGACAAGTGACCCTTCCCGGCGCAGGTTCAAGGTTTCTCYCCTCTTGGCGAGCTCCAGCTGCAGGGGCTCCCGCGCAGCAGACGCTCCACGGGCGGCGGGAGCCCCAACGCCACCTGAGCTGCTGCACATGCAAAACCCCCGGCTGCAAAATTTTGCACCTGCAGAACGCCCGGTTGAGATGCACTAAACGTGGCCATGGGTGGGGAGGGTGTCCCGGGYGAAGCCCCCCCGGCCAGGCTGCCACCCCGGCTCCGTGCTGAGGAGCTTGCCCGCGGCGAGCGGCCGGGTTAAGGGAGCAGCAGGGCAGAGGCGACGGCGCCTGGGGACACAGGGGCAGCTCYGGCAGAGGCAGCAGCCAGGTCCAGCCCACGCAGAGCCGCTGAACCCGCGGGGACCGAGCGTGCAGCAGCCCCAGGGCCTCCTCTCCTCTCCGCCCGCGGCACCGYGAGGTCCCCTCCCGGCCTCGGGGCCCTCCCCGCACACTCACCGAATCGCAATGTGCAGATGGCAGCGCCGGCCGCGACTCCCTGCGCCACCCAGGGCCCCGCCGGCCGCCGCTTAACCCCTCCGGTGCCGCCCGCCGCAGGGAAACCTCCGACTCCGGCTGTTTGGAACCTCCCGGCGGCAGCTCCGCAGGGACGAGGTCCCCAAGCGCAGCCCCCCGGCGCATCCCTGCGGGATGCAGGGCGAGCTCCGGCGCTCACAGAGCACCCAAGGGAGCGTGAGCGCATGTGGCTGCTGCAGCCCCCAAGTGCTGGGGTGGGGGAAACCCCAGCGTCTCCCCCACTGCCACCCAGGACACCCTCCCTGCGGCCGCCCCGCGSCGTCACCTCCCACCGCAGCATCTGGCGGCGCCCACGGGTGGCAGCGCCCACGTGCCCGGCCCCATCGGACCGACCTGCGGGGCAAAGGGAGATCCTCACAATGCTGGGGAGACCCTCTGGCTCCCTATGTGACGAAGAGGAGGCTCCCAGCCTCCATCTCGCAGGGACGGGGAGGCCACGGAGGCAGCAGAAGGTGCCAGGGTCCTGCACGTGCCCAGCTGTGGGCGGCAGCGCTTCACAGCCGKGCAAACCCAGGCCCAGCGCAACCCACCTGCTTCTCCCCGTGGATGCACACGGATCCGGGAAAAGGGGAAAAAACTCCCCCCCCGGCCGCCTTGAGCCCCAAACCTCCTGCTCACCGCAGAAATCCCACCCGGCCCACGGCAGCACCGCGGGCACCCAGCCCCAGCAGCACCCAGCTCCAGCTGGCAGAGCAGCCCCGGCGCAGCCGCGTTGCAAAGGGAGACCCAGCCCTGGCACCGCCTGCGCCCACGGGGACACGGAGCATTCGGGCCCCTCTCAGAGCCGAGAGGCTCCTTCTCCTTTCACACGTCGGGGGGCTTTCCCGAGGGGCCGGGAAGAGGCCGGGAGCGGCGGCTCCGCTTGGGACGCGCTCCCCGCAAACCTGCTCGGCCGGGCCGGCTGCCAGGCGGCTCCGCCGTGACTCACGGCCGCCCGAGYCCTGGCGAGGCCCGGGAACGGGCACAGGGGCCCCGGAGCCGCGCACCGGCATCCGCCCCCGGGCTTCCCCTCCGCTGAAAAATTCCAGGGGCATGGAAAAAAAAAAATAAAAGGGGGGAAAAAAAATAAAGAAAGGAGGGAAGGCTCCAGGCGAGCTGTCAAGGGGAATGTTTCCATCTAAGGCCTTGGTATTTCTCTGCCGGCGCCTGCACTAAATCACCCGGGCTCCTCTCATTATTCTTCGGTGCTTTACAAGGTAGCGCAGGCAGGGACGTGGCAGGGGGGCCGCGAGCGGGCGCCCAYGGAGGCACCTGCGTCCTCGACGGGGCCACGGAGCTGCGGCAATTTCGGCCCTTGCTGAGGCCGGAGGGGCTGAACGCTGCCCCGTGGGGACGCGGCGCCCCATTGAGGCAGGAGCCTTCGTCCTCACCCGCCCCTTCGGCTTCCTCCCACGTGGCCGGGGAACAGGTTCCTCCTGCCACAGTGCCCGCGTTGGGCGACTCCTGCTTCTCCTCCCGCCGGTCCCCCGGGTTTTGTAATCCCATCCTGGCAATGAAAGGTGCAAGGAACGTGCAAGGAACGTGCAAGGAACGTGCAAGGAACGTGCAAGGAACGTGCAAGGAACGTGCAAGGAACGTGCAAGGAACGTGCAAG